TTGGTTAACGGCACAGTTGATCAAGACAAATATATAAATGTTTTAGCCCAAAGCTTTCACCTTGGATCGCACAACTCTGCTAGAAAGAGGATAGAGACTTTATATTCCAAGAGGATGGATCTAGCTGCCACAATTGGCGGCTATGTTCAATGATGGAAGGAAGTCCACCAGACCAGGGGCGCTGAGTACTGGCCCGCACAAAGCCCTGATTTGAATCCGATAGAGCATGTTTGGGCCGCTTTGGGTAATCTTGTCAAGGAAAGAAGAAGTGAGATAAGAAATATTGAAAAGTTGAGTGTCGTGTTGAGAGAAGAATGGGAGAAAATAAGCCCTGGATTAGCAGCATGTTTGGTCGGAAGCATGAAGGCTCGATACCACTATAGGAAATTTCACAGCCAAAAATTTCCTATGGTGTAGCGACCACCCACACAAACTGCATAGTCGAGAACTTTGAAGTAAGATTGCTAAAATACCTTTCGTATCTTATTCAAAACACTTTTATGGCAAGTTCCATTTTTTTGTGAAATATTCTACTAGAATATGTAAATAATTCGCGATATATAGTCAATGGCGTACCAAGACGTGAAGAAAATAGTTTATGATTACTGTTATCAATCTGTATGCAAAGGAGAACCCAAATGGCCGCAAGGCACTACTTTCACTCAAGGAACAAAAACAGCGGCTGATGAAGCTTGTCTGCCATTGCAGCATCTTATAACCACACAAGTAATACTAAAGGAATTATCTGCATCTCCAAGTACTTTTTTGCCTTGTATCTTGTATATACTATTGACACATGAAGCAGAACATAAAGAGCACCATGCTTATGATGTTAAGGCTACCTCTGCCTATACGTTTTTCTGTATTACCAAACACATCGTTGCACCGACGATTCATCAATATCAACGCAAATTCATTATCTGCTTTTGTTAAAGAACCTTTACCACAGGGATACAACGATCAACTAAGAATGTTTTGCAGAGTTTTAATTTCAAAAAACTAAGAATTGACTGGTAAAATCTTGTCTGCAGATTGCTTACTTGTACAGTACTCAGTAACTTTTTTGTTTGTTTGAATAGTGTTGATGATTTGCTTCCGAATCAGAACAACAAAATCATGTTTGCAGATACTGTCAAGTCTGACGGGTTTTCAGTTGATTTTGTATGCAACAAAAGAACAACAAAAGATACTTTTTTAGCAGCAAACATTGATTTAAAGCTCGAAGATTTTGACTTGGAAGAAGTAAAGCAAACTTACCAGCCCATGTTTCTAGATCCTGGGAGAAAAGGCGTGTTCACTGCTGCAATTGGTTTAAATACAACCAACCATCAAATAAGACGCTGTTCAACAGCAGAGTATTATCACATGACCGGATTGACAAAGTACACTAAACAACTAGAAAAGCTTAAGGCTCAAAAGGGCATAAAACAATATACACTCTTCTAAAACAGCTGAATGTGCAGTCTGTTTGTGCAATCTGTAATTTTTTTGTGTAGACTGTTTGTGCAGTCTGTAATTTTTTTGTTTAGGTTGTTTTTTTTTTTATGTACTGTTTTTTTCTTGTTGCCATCTTTTTCTGTAACGTATTTTTCCTATCATGATTACTATTAGTAGGGAACAAGCAATCTGTATGTTTTACTGCCAGCCCTATAATGAGTCAAACGCCTCTAAACTATCCAAGTTAATTGACAACATGGACAATATTGAAATCTGCTATTCAGATGACCCCACCGAGCCAATGCTCATTTGCCAATAAAGAATAAACCAAAATCCATTCAAATGTAAGACATATGTCAGCGAAGATGCGATTTCGTCTCAGGCTGAACCTGAAGAAATACATGAAAACAAAATTCTCCTCAGTAAATCTCGCAAAAAGGAAACATCTGATATATATATATGTTAATATTTATATTCTTGTTTCTTTTACACAGCCACTGAGCAGCATATCATACAGTTTTTAAATGCTTGCTTCCTCCCTTATGACCCGAATAACGATGAAGTTTATGAACAACGAAGTCTTCAAACGGCGATATATTTTCAGTATTGTGGCAATATACTGATAAGAGTGTCACATCGTTTGGAAACTGGTGTTCATCCAAAAAAAGTCGATTTTTTGCTTTGCAAACCTAAAAGAAAACGCATTACCAATAACTCCATGATCTCTGTCAGATTATTACATGTGTTAAAAAAAGACTACTTTGGTAAGATAAGGCAAATGTTTGATAAGAGAATCTAAGGGATTAATATTCGAAAATGAAAATTATATAGCCAAAATCATTGAAAGGATAGTGTTCTTATTGCATGATCACCAAACGGAGATTCGAAACTTGAAGCAGCAAGAATTTACTGTAATAGGATATGCTAGAAAGTCGAAGAGTGGTGAAGATGTTGAAACCAGAACCAGATTACTGAATCTCATGTGTAAACGTCTAAAGGAGAGATCACTAGTTGATCATGTTTTCGTATCATATGCCTCTCAAGGTAACGACCAGTTGGCAAAAAGGGATTTAAAACAAACGAGTGAAACATATAAAGGTTTACATGCAGAAGGAAGCACTCAGGGTAAGCAAGTCAGTGACACATTGTATATCCAAATTAATAGACTATTTATTTCGACTATATAGACATGATGAGATTTATCACAAACACTGAGAAAGTATGTTTAGTCGTATTGGATTACGCTGGTTTGTCAACAAACAGCAATGATTTGTATGAGAATCTTTTGAGAAGAACAATCAATATCTTGACCAAGTTTCATTTTTTCATAGCCACACTTGCTACTATAATAAGCATATGTGTACACACATCCTAAATAAGCAATCATTTGGTAATAGGACATAAATTTATTTGAATAAACCATTTACAAACAAAAAGAGAATGTATATTTATATAAATATCAGAGTTACTTTATGTGTTTATACGCATACATTTATTTAAGATGTAGTCGATGGAACCGATTGAGTCGATGAGCCAAGGATGGTGGTCAGATCACCATTCTGTTATTTTAAATATTTAGTTTATATACATACATATTCTTGCTTTAAATTACCTGTAATGGACAAGGCAAGCTCATTGATTTTGATATCGTTGGAGTAATAGGGATGCCGATGATGCGAACAGTAGGGTAAATGTAATAATTGAAGTTTATGTTTTGTTTTGCGCTTCCATCCAGTCCACACTTTGTAAGCAAATCCATTAATACACCTTGTTCTGCTTGGTTAGTTGAATTAACTGCAACATTAAAGGGAAAGGTGATGTTTGTGATTCCATTCGAATTGATATGTACATTGTCCACTTGGCCTCCTCCTACTTTCACACTATAAGGTGAAGGATAGTATGCCTAAAGGGAGATAAATGGATTAGAGAAAAAAAATAATATATAAAAAAGAAATCATCCAAGGACTTACATCAGCTACAATCTTTTCAAATGTAATACTTTCAAAATTTGGATTATTCACAGTAATTCCTATGCTGAATGTCATGTTCAAGACATTATTATCAAATGATCGAGTAGGTGGTTGTTGAAGTCCTGTGAATTGAACGGTGGGCACTTTGAACAAGGCAGCTAATACACCGACGACAATAGCAAGTATAACAATAATGATAAATATTATACAAGTACACCATCTCGCCCATTTGGGACAACAGGTGCAGCAGCCACAACACATCTTATCTATACATGAACGCTGTCTTCTTTCCCTTGGGATAATCTTTTCCATGTCATCATCAGAGTCATAATGGTCCATGAATTTCATATCTGATAAAGAATCTCGGGGAACAGGTGGTTGATGAAGACGAGGATCACTGTATCGATTGTGAGCAAGGATTGGATCAGCTGTGACGTTGTGCTGGTTATAAACCGGATAAGGTGAAGGTGAGTTTACAGGTATCTCTTTCATGGTGTATTGGTCTGTAGAATCTCGTGATGTATCTATATGTTGTGGCACGGGTGGAGGGGATCTTGGCTTTTCATAAAAGTCATCATGTTTATTATAGACAGACATCTTTAATGTGTATTTAATAAATAAGAGAAAGAAATGAAAAAAGAGAGTGCCAAGCTTTGATTAGTTACTGTTATTTATATTTTTAGAAATGATTTATTTTTGGGCTTAGTTTATGAGTCTAAAATTTAGTAGGAATACAAAACCTGTTTATAAGAAAAACATAGGCTAAAGAAATATAAAATATGCACTTGAATATTGACGTACCTCATTCTCTATCTAGCTTCTCCTCTTCTTGTCTCTCTGAATTGCTTCTTGTCTTATAAAAGCGGTTGTGTAAGTAAATTATATTATAGTACCGCCCTTATTTTATTGGATCTATTTCAAGAAGCCCAAAGGTACAAGCAAATTCTCTTTCTACATGATGTAACCTGACTGGTACCTGAGTGCTATGTTTATTCCTGCAATAGCAATATACAAGGGGCCATACAAGCTTAATTTGTACAGTGCAACATAACTATTTTTGCCAAGAGTTAAGTAAGATGTACTTTAACTAGCAATATATATATATGTATGTATGTATCCTGCTTCGTCATAAGAAAGAGACTATTTTTGGAACATTAACAAAGTATCAATGGGTTATGCTTTTGTGTAGCCAGCAAATTGAAAAATAAATGACATCGAGAGTCGGGATTTTGTCCTGGGAAGGATCGACGCTAAGCAATCACCGCTGTGCTTTTAAATATATTGTTAGTACCTTGACAACTTATCAAAGACGAGCCCGAGATGATACAGATGTATCTTTCTTAATTTACTTGTCAAATAGACAGCATCTACAGGCATCGCCTCTCAGTATCTTGCTTTGCTTATGAGTATTGTATGGGGCTCTTATACCTTTGATTGGCTAATAAATTTCAGTAGCATTCGATGTCCTTGACTACACTTTACTTCTTTATGTCACGCAAAGGGGCCACAAAAATTAAAGATGTTGAATAGGACTGTTCTTTTATTCTTTATTAACTAGAAAGCTAATGAATAAAAAATAATGTATTATTTGTTTTATACTTACCGAGGCGTTAAGGGATGCACTTCCGTTATAGACAGCCCATTAAATCCAGGGGTACCGTTAGTCTTTGGAGGGCTTTCATTGTCATGCTTTGATTTATAAATAAAGACACCATATATATTTAATGCACTGTTCACATCGCGATTCCACATCGTACTATAAGATTCACCCTTGGGGTCAGCATGTACTCTTCGCTTTGATCCAGCAATGGAGATGTTATTGAAGTGATGGCCTTGTGTGTCCGTTTGAACAAAAAGGTCTACTAATTATTCAGGTGGACCAGGCAAAAGTTACAACGGGACTGATCCTTGCTTGCAGCATGATTGCCAGCTAGGGTTCCTCATCGAGGACGTCTCTTGCTTTTCATCAATCCAGTGCAGAGAAAGCTGCGAGATATAGGCAGCACGGTTTGCCTCTGGATATACTTTCAACATCAGCGGACTGGATCATTTTTCTTGGCCTGCATCTAGATCTAGCAGTGACACCGCTCTCTTCTTGTTGCACTTCGGCACGACATCTGCGGCGTGAGGCTGCGACCCGTTCTCCGCATGTTTGGCAGGTACTATGACGTTAATCAACTGGTGAAAGTGTATGACAGGAAAAGACAGTTTTGTTTTGAGCTTTGTTATCATCGCGATCAATAGGCGCTGCCTCTTGGGGTCGTCCTCACTTGTCATGGACTTTCATGCGTATCCCACGATCGCTCACTTCTCAGCTTCAACATGAGCAAATGCCCTATGTGAATTGATGCTCTTCACTTTGTCAACTGCATCATCTATATTAAAAATTATTGTTAGATGATAAATGAAAATTCGAAAAAAAAAAACTTCAATAGAGCCCGTGTTAAATATCAACACCATATTTGATTGAGCTATTAAAGTTTTTTCGACGTTGGGAGTCTTAAAAAATTACAATACCTACCTCTGTACTGGTTTTTTAGGACGCATAACTGTCTTCCTCTGGAACGGTCACCATCTGCTTGTCTTCTTTCAAGTTGCCCCTAGCTTCCATCGTTTGCCAGCCATTTGGCCAGCTGCTTCGGGGAGGATGCGCCACAAAATACATTTACTTCACCCTTCAAAAGATGTCATATGCTTTCATCAGGGTAAGCCAAAAGTTAAAATAAGACATAACAAATATTTTCTACCTTGTATCACATACAATACAGAAAAGTAAAGAGTTAGCAGATAACATTTTGTATACAGTTGAAAGAACTGAAAGATGGGGACGTGTCCCTTTAATATTTATATTTTGCGTTATGCAGCTGCTGTGCTTTAAATGGAAGACTATTCATTTAAGGAGTATAGTAAGGATAAAGGTAAATGGCTTTAGAATAGAATGACAGGAATCTATTTCCCAATGTAGAGGCTTTTTGGCTATTTGTTATTATTGTGATTTGTACAAAATGATTCTTGGCATTTTTATTGCTTATATTCTAAGTTCTATTTACATAAAATCCAAGCTACTGTTAGTAAGTAGTCTTGAGTGCAAAGTCTTTATAATAACTGTATTGTTTCCTTGGGGTCTCCCAAGAGTCATCCGAGCCACCAAAGAATGTGTGAAACACTACGATATTTCATTTAGAAGGGCGTGATTTGTATAAATAAAACAACTTACTGATTCCAACAACCCGACCAGCGGGTTCTCTACGAAAGATCATCTTTTCTTGGGTATATACTTTCTTACCATTGGCGTAAAGGACAAGTTGACCATCTTGTTTTCCAGGAGTATTCATTGTCAACACTTGTCGTAAATGGGTCCATTTTCCTGCCTTGAATCGAAAACTTCCTCTCCCTAAGCTGTAACCATATTCAGGGTTGCACACATTCAGGTCGCTTCCACAAATAGATGCGGGTTCACTAGAGTAAGGCAAATAAGCATAAATCTCTCCTTCACCCTTCTTTCTCCACATCAATCTAGAAAGAAACAGAATGAAAGTGAGCTCTAAGAAATTGGCGGGGGAAGATATAAAAGATACCTTGTAGTAAAACAGGTTTTATCATCTTCACCTCCTGTACAGTCACCATGACCACCATAAAGACCAGGAAGCTTACCTCCTGTTATATCAATATGAATAAGATAACCCACATAAAATATCAAACAATACCTTTGACAAAGTTAAATTGCTTTGGGAAATAGACGCTGTAAGATAGTTCGACCTTCTTGACGTTCGTATCAATTTTGATTGGTTTTGCCTTAAAACCAAGACCGCCGACAGGATTTGAATCGGGATTTCTAGAATGAGCGGGATATTCGACACGAAGAGTCATATCGGAGGATCTCCTGGAAGGGTCTTTTTTGATCACATGTTTCACAGAATCTGCGCCATTCCACATCCACAGCCAGCCATTATCCTCAGAGATTCCCCAAGGACGACTCCAGTTACTGCCTTGACCAACACTTGAATCTTTGTATTTATTCCAATTTTTAAATGACCAAGTTTTCTGTATTGATTTTGCTTGGACGGCAATGATCAAAAGGTAACAAAGAAGCAGTGTTTTGGTGATTAAATGCTGGTGATGCATTATATTCAAAAGAGATAAAAGAGCTTCAAAAAGAAAAACAAGAAGAAATGAGAGGTCTTTATATAATGAAGGCCCACAAAGGCACAAATTAAATATTACTAGATTGGGCCATTTGAGTAACTCTCTTCCGCTCATTTACTGCATGTTAATAATGGAAATGCGCAACTTGCAGTGCTTCCCCGCTGTCAGATTAGTTTGATCCAAAAATGAACCTTATTTGTTCAACTTGTTTAGTCTAATTTGGGTCAATAATTTCCAAAGACATGTAATACGACCATTTTTATTGTTAAAGTACATATTTTTATGATATAAGAGAGATATATAATATGATTCATTTATCGCATGCTTAATCGTGTTTTTAGACCTAGAGTGTTGACATTTCGGTTCGACAGTAAGTTCTTGGTCAAGCCATTTTTGGCTTGTTGAGTCATTATTAGGAATACTCTTTTAACAAAGGGCATAGGAGCCCATTGAATACGATTTGAATGCTCTGTTATCACTATCAAAAAAAAGTATTACAGCTTCTACGCTTTCATCAATATCAGTTGCAAGCCAAGGCATAAAATTTTTAATTATCAAAGACGGAATTAGATATAATACAAAAGGCAAGAAGGCTTCTAGTTGTGTGTGTTTCGGGCAAAAGAAAAAAAAAAGTTATGGTAAAACCCCAGAAAGGTTGACGGAGACCACATATGGAAGAAGATGCACTGAGATTAATGGAAGTTTCCAGCAGAGTATCCGTGTGTTTCCTGGGAAACGTTTGACAAAGGAGTGGCACTGGTAATACAATGGACTGGTAATAATATAAAAAGAATAGGAAACAAAGATTGACAAGTAAAGAAATTGAGAGTAGTAGTAAACCTATTACTGAAGTTCAAGATTAATCTATCAATGATGACCCAACAAGCCAAATATGGTACTCAATAAGAGATCTTAACATCATTCTGTAGGAGTTTAATTCTTAAGTAAGTTTGGCCTGATAAAGGTAGATCAATAAATAATAATGAAAACACTGTTAGTCTTTTCTCGTCTTGGCAATCTTTTTAGTCTGTTTTTAGTAGAACTGAAGAAAGGATACAACTCTTTATCACTTCTATTGTAGGAAATGATTTAATTAATAGATTATTTTTTTTTATTATACGTCATTCTTCACGCAACAGGATTTTTTTTATAAAAAAAAAAGGGGGGGGCGCCCAAGACACCTCGAATAATGACTGATGTTGACATTAATCACAATCAGTCAAAATGAGATAATGACAGTCACTTTTAGATAAGAACATATAAAACGCTTATCTCATCTTTTTTTTCTTCTTCTTCTTTTCTTACTTTAAACAAAGCCAAAAAAGAAAAAGTAAACAAGAAGGTTTATAACAAACAATTGGCTTCCCCCCTTTATAAGTTTATGTATATTCACGCTTTCGAAAAGTGCTCAGCAGACTATATTTGTGATCAAAGTAAGCCTTAATTAATTCTGACTGATAAACATAGATCACTAATTATCAATCTCAGTTTGGAAATCTTTTTCAAACTATTAACTAAAAATGCCCATGATTAACATCAATTCCTCTACTCCTGCTTCTCTCAAGCTGAAAACAGGTCAAATCTTTACTGGTACCTCATTTGGTGCTCCCGTCTCTACCTTTGGTGAAGCTGTCTTTACTACTTCTGTTGTTGGTTACCCCGAATCAATGACAGATCCCTCTTATACTGGTCAAATCCTCGTCTTCACCCAACCCTTAATTGGAAATTACGGTGTTCCTGGTCAAACCAAAGACGAGTTTGGTCTGTTGAAATACTTTGAATCCGATCGTATTCAGGTTCAAGGCATTATCGTCAATGATTACGCAACTGAATATTCTCATTGGACCGCTGTTGAATCCTTGGCCGAATGGTGTATCCGTCAGAACATTCCTGCCATTTCTGGTGTAGATACTCGTGCCTTGACCCAGTTACTACGTGATCAAGGATCAACTCTCGCCAAGATCTGTGTAGGCGAAGACTACCTGACCGACGACATTGCTTCTACTGACTTTCCCAACCCCAATGCTGAAAACTTAGTAGCCAAGGTGTCCACCAAGGTTCCTATCACGTACAATCCCAAGGGTGATGTCAGAATTGCTGTCATCGACTGTGGCGTAAAGCAAAACATCCTTCGTTGTCTCACCAGTCGCGGTGCTGCCGTTACCGTCTTGCCATACAATTACGATTTCAATAGTGTTGCCAATCAATTCGACGGTCTTTTCATCTCTAATGGTCCAGGTTCACCTACATATTGTGTTGAGACCATCAAGAACCTTCAAGTGGCAATTGAAACATTCAATAAACCCATTTTTGGTATCTGTATGGGCAACCTCCTTCTTGGTATGGCCGCTGGCTTAAACGTCTATAAGTTGCCATTCGGAAACCGTGGTCACAATCAACCTGCTCTCAATGTTGATACAGGCCTTTGCTATATCACATCTCAAAATCATGGTTATGCCCTGAATGATAAAGATATGCCCGGCCAATGGAAACGTCTCTTTATCAATGCAAATGATGGATCTAATGAAGGCATTCGTCATGAAACAAAGCCCTTCTTCTCTGTTCAGTTCCATCCTGAAGCCAAAGGTGGTCCTCAAGATACTTTTTATCTCTTTGAAGAATTCCTTTATCAAGTCCGTCAATTGAAAACAAACTTCAACTTGTCACAAACCTCCATTGCTACTCTTCAACAATCTGCTATCAGCACTTGTGTTTAATATCATTCTTTTTATTATGATTATTATTATTATTATTTTTTTTGCATTCTCTCTTTTTATTGAATAAACAAATTATGAATCTTTTCAAATTCCTTAAAGCTTTCAAGTTGAATGTGTCGTTTAGGTTCAGTGACAATTGCAGTAGCGGGAAAATGTATTTTTGCAAACGCCTTCATCAGTTTTTTGTTGTGTTCCTTTTCAGCCAACTAAACAAAAAAATAAATAGTGAGTACAAGTAGTCTTTGGGGGGTTTGTTTCCTTACTGCTGATTTTTGGCTCCATTTGGCGTATCGTTCATTATTCTGAATATGTTTCATCTTTTCTTTTAATAATTCACATCGGCGTTTAAGGGTATATAGAACAGACTGCTGCATCTGGTACTGATAATCAGGTAAATTCTTCTTTCTCTGCCATTTACCTCCTCTTCGTTCAGGAGATAATTGAACTATCTTTGTTGTGGCAGTGGCTAGACGTACATCTTTTACAAGTGTACGTGTCTCTTGCAAAACCGATCTTACCATCGACTTAAAGTCCAACTCTTTATTTTCGTATTCCTCATCTTCTTCGTCTCCTTCATCGTCTGTCAGGGGAGGTGTGGGTGGCAGCAGTGTCTTTCGAGCTGTATAGTCCATATGAAGCGTCTTGAGCATATCTGATTCCTTCAAGTGAGCATTTTCAGCGCGCAAGTATCGAATAGCACACTTTAAGGATTCGAGCTGGCTGTTTAGATTGTGTATATCCAAATTGTTCTCTTCATTTTCTGAATTCATGAGCGCAGCGTCTTCAATAAATAGTTCGGCCTTCTTTGATGCCGAGAGTCGCTTTTCTTCCTTTTGAGCGATCTCCTTCTTTAACTTGGCATGTTCTTGTTCAAGATTATCATACTCTGCTTGTAGGTTATCTATAGCCTCTGAATACATCTGTTCCTGTTGTTGGCTCTTTGACAGCGTTTCTTCCAACATCTGAATCTGCTCTGCTTGTTTCTTGACTGTCTCCATGCGTTTCTCGAGTAACTCAATCTTTACGTGAGCTTCCTGAAGTGCTTGATCCTATATAAAAGTTTGATAGGTTAATCATGAGGTACTCACCCTTGTCTAATTTACCTTGAGCTTGACATCTTTAATCAACTTTAGGATTTCGTCGCTGTGTTGTTGAAGCTTACGCTCCATGTCATGATTGATGACAATCTCTGCCTTCATGTCAGACGCACGTTGGGTCCAAGGTGAGACGCCAATGGTGATCTTTTGTGTCTTGGTTTCATTAGATATACGCTCATGTGTAGTATTAAGTTCATTTGTGAGCGACTTGAGCGTCTTTAAGCATCCTTCCCACATGCTGCTCTCGGGTATTTCAAGAATCTCATCTGCTTTATTGTAGATGGTCTGCTGTATGATGCCAAGACTAATGTCTTCTTTACTGCCTACTCTAGTCTCTACATAACGAGTTATCTGCTTGTATGTTTCAAAGCAAAACTTGCATAATTTGGTGCTGATAGCATAGAGCATCTTAAATCGATGCAAGTAATCAGATGTAAGCGTCAAGGCTTGTTCAGTCAAATCTTCAAGTTGACGCAAAAGTTTCCTATGTGAAAAAGCAAAAGCTTAGTTTAGGAAACAAAACAAAAAGTAATATTTACTTGGCCAGTATTTTGCTGTTCTTTGCTTGAACGATTAAACGGTTGAGGGGTTCAAGGTAATCGTAGTCTAGTTTCTCAAGCCCTTCAACAATGGTAATACCTATTTTTTGGTTAGAGAGCCAGAACAAACTTGCTTTATGTTTTATACGTACTTTCTTTACGAGCAGCATTTTCGACAATTTGCTTCAAGAATGTCAGTTCTACCGTCATTCTGTCAGCGTTTAGATCAAGTGCTCGTGTCAATCCAAAGAACTGATCAGCATGGTTGTTTTCACTTTCTATCAGGTGGATCTCACTTAGATGCTCTAACTGTGCGATCATCCTCTGAAGTTCTGTCACGCACTCGCCTTCGTTGACCTCATCGGTACGCAGCAAGTCGACGATGCCAGTCAATCGTCTTTCGGTTCCAATCAAGTCATGGTACACTTGCCCCATTTTGATAAATGTTGTTGGATTACAGTTCATAGTAAATGTCACAAACCGTTTACTCAAATCACTCAACCAGCCTGCTCGTTGACGCATTTCACAGACCGAGATCAAACTTTCGGGCACGGTGTCCATAATCCTCTCACTGATCGGATGGTTTTGGTCCAAATGCTTGATAATCAGTTCAGACTTGAACATTAGTCGCTTGAAGAGCAGGACGCAGGAGATGGCATCATTTTCAGTCTTGAAGAAAGCATCTGGTAAATAAGGTTGAATATAGCTCAGCCTGTCATTCGCCTGCTGAGCCTCTAATTTACGAAGCTCGAGGTCAATAGACTTTGCCTGGGCCTTCATTACTGTCGATTGCAATTGAATGTTGAGTGACATCATGGCTTGAGACTGACTACTCAGTGTGCGTCGTTCTGATTGTTGACTAACTTCCTTGTGCTTCAGGTGCTCTAGATCGTTCTGCAGTGTTGATACGAGTTCTCTAAATTGCTGTATAGTTGTTTCATAATCCATGTTTGTTTCTTCAGCTGCTCTTACTCTTTCCATTTGCTCACGTAAAAGCATATCTCTGTGATCTTTAAAAAGGATTAACACACGCCTTTTTCTTTTAAAATATTAATAGAGCTTGCCTATTTCTGCTTGCAATTGCTTTTCTGTTTCAATATGGTTATCTTCTAATTCATCCGCTAATTCTTTTAATGCTTCCAAGTCTTCAATGACCAAGTGCATCTCTTCCATCTTTTCGGTCAGTGCAAGATTCTTTTCCGTCAACTGTTCGACAAGATCTTCAGCACCTAGGGCATCATCAAGCGACTGTTTCAACTCTTCAATTGTCAACTCTGCTACTTGAAGTCTATCACGAGTCTTGGCATATTGCGCCTTAACATCTTCTAATTCGTATGTGTCCTTTTCTAAATCCTTAATTCTCTCACAAAGCTCATTTTCTCTTGCCGTTGTTGCATCTCGAAGTCTGACAGGAGAAAGAGGGGGTTGATAAGATATTTCATTAAATGACAAGTACATACCTAACGAGTGCTTCCTTTAGCCTTTCATTGTGTCTTTCCAGTTGGATAACCTCTAATGGTGTCTTTTCATCCCCTTCTCTTTCAGGAATACGATTGATAATATCAGCTTCCTTTCTCAAAATATCCAAGTCAACGCTAATTTCTTCTATTTTATCCTTCAACACATTCACTTCTTGCTGCAAGTTTTCTGCTCTTTCTTCAGCCACTTCTTTATCCAAGGTCATCATTTCAAGCGATTCAATAGCGTCATTGTATTTGCTTTCGTACATCTCTTGGTCTGATGAGACTTCCTTCAGCTGTCTCTTTGTCTCCCGTAACTCTTTTTGCAGATCGGCAATTTTATCTATAGTAACAGGTAAATGTTTGAGAAAAAAGCAAATATAACAAGAGAGTACCTTGAAGTTTATTTCTTAATGTCAAGAACTGCTCGGCCTCTTCCTTGACTTTTTCATGTTCTCGGTACTTTTCGCGGTCTTCTTGACGCTTGGCTTCAAGTATCTTTAGCTTTAATCGAAGCTCTTCATAATCCTTCAAAGGAACAACTTGTTCTGATTTACTAACAGGCAGATTAGCTGCTAAAGAACCATAGGTAGGTGCCTGATTACTAGGTGTTTTAGAAGTAGTTGATGTGGTCTTTACGATATCCTCTTTTTCAAGCACCGGTTGATTTGATTGAGTACTTTGTGTCCTAGAAGGGTCATTGCTATAATTTTCTTCTTCTTTTTCTTCCTGATCCGCTTCACTCTTGTTATCGTCAATATCATCTTCGTCAGTTTCTTCGTTTACCTCTTGCTGTAATTCAGAGGTCATGCTTGCTCGGTCATGTTCACTTTTATTACTGAGTGTTGATGGAGAACGCTGACCATCCTGTCTATATAGCGCTCGTCCCTGCAGAGGCGACTTGGGCGAGTCTTCTGAATTTATTTGAGAGTATGAAAAGGTAGAACGAGGTATAGCAGGTGATGATGTAGGAGAAGACGGCTTGATCTTTGAAAGAGCACTGCTTCGTTTCGTAAGACCAGTGACAGGTGATGCTGATTTTTTAGATGCTCCTGATATCGTCGGCCGCCGAAGACCTGTTGCATTATTTTGAGGTAGTCGACTTATGCCCGATGGAAGCAAGGTTGTGGACGTTGACGTGCTGACTTTACTTGTAGCGGCTGCCAGATTGGGGTCCCGAGCTGGAGCAAATCGGGAAGAACTAGGTGTTGGCACAGGTGATTGTACGGTGCTATCTTCCTAAAATAATTAAAGATATAGAGTCTATCTCTTTGAGCTGTATCTTTTCTAACCTTGATTATCTTCACTTGACTCGGCCTAACAAAGACACCATGGTTTGCCTTGCAGTCAAAATATCTCTTGCCTTGAACAACACCACTATTTTTCCCCAGTGGTTCGTCTAGTTCGATACCAACCCATTTTCCAGTCTGGAAACTTGTTGTTCCTACGAACCTAATGAAGCCCACTTTTCCTTGTATTTGTGCTCGCGCACCTACTTTGAGCTCCGCAGAAATATCACTACTACTATTACTTCTGGGGAAACTAGGTGAGTTACTAAACTGTTGTCTTTGTAATTCAAGATTAGACATGCAAGTAAAGCATAAACAGTTAGAAAATAAAAGAGAGAAAGAGAAAAATATTTTAAGAGTAACACAAGGATTTTATTGACTTATGCTCTGTTTTGTTCAATGACATGATCAATTGCCTCTACCACAGACTTGAATACCTTCAAGCCTTCATCCTTATCTTCATCTTGTTGTCGATACTTGCCTGTTTGAACTAGAAAAGTGTGTGTTAATACGAATTAATAACAAATAAAGGGAAATACCTAAATAACGATGCAAGCCTAACTCCTTGGCTCCTTCTCCTAAATCGTTATGGACGTCATCACCTATAATGGCTACATTTTCAGGAGTATCAAGCATGTTGCTTGATATCGAGTTAGATTAATATAAATAAGCACAAACAATATAAACATACATTTGTTCAAGTGCCAGTTCAAAGAACTTTTTGGTCGGTTTACCAGCAATGATGGCTTCTTTTCCAGTTGCAAATTCGAGAGCTTTTTGTATATTAAATAGAAGCTTATGAACGTACATTATTATAATAATACCTTTCACAAATCCACCTGGTCCCATCGACAGTTGTTCATCTTTATCAGCAAAGTATTTTGCTTTATGAACAGCAATCAAAGGCATGTTGGGTTCATTTATCAGCAATCGAAAGGCTTCATTCAACTTGTTTAACTTAGCTCCACAAAAGACATATTAAAAGTGAATCATTTGCTTACTTTTTCATAATTAAATTTGGAAGGGGCTAATCCGATAACAACTGCATTTGGCTGATCAACATCGATTCCTTCAAATTCATCCATGGCTTCATCCTCCATAAGTAATAGAGGCCTTTATTCTGGTTAACTTGTTTGATTCTCATATAAGTTACTATTTACCTCAATTGCTTGGTTTGAATCATATCACGACAGGCAGATAAGGAAGTAAAGACCTTGTCAAGACATGAGTTTTTTTCTCTCACTATTTAACCATCAAACATATTATTTACGTCTTTTTCTGCTACTTGGAATCCGAGATTTGTCAACTTCTTTACCAACTGACGCGAAGACATTTTTGTTGTATTTGTAGCAAACCTAATGTCTAAAGTGAGTCTTGAAGGAATCTCGTTTTATATTCCGTCGAACCTAAAAGGGATATTGTTTGCTTTTAAGCGCTCAATTGCTTGAATGGCGCCTGGAATGACTTTAGAGTCAATATGAATAGTTCCACTAAGGTCGATGAGTAGGCCTTTGACAGCAGGCATGTGTACAACAACAGCAAAAAAAAAGATAAATTTTATAATTTCGTCATAACAATTTGACGTACTCTTATCGAAAAAGAGGGCAAAGTGGACTGTAGATAAAAGATGTCCATGATCCCTTCTCACTTTTTGAAAGATGAAGCAAGATAACACACTTGATCAATCTTTACATATATATTAACCAACTAGACGTGTCCTGTAATCCGATTTGTAATCGAAAAATGGCTGCAGAACCAATAACAGAGAATGGTGCTTACTTGAAATATATTCACTCCTGTTCATATCAACTCTCCCATTTCTTTATTTTATGTGCTCATAAGAAAACGTGTTTGAAACAAAACCAAGAAAGAAAAAAAGCATACGACGGTGAGATCTTTTTAAATTTAAACTTTTAATTTACCTTTTTAAGGTTAGCTTCTTCTTCTTCGATGTTGGCGTTGCTTGTTACAAATATCTACTTTTTGGGCTTTGAGCACCTTTGATATTCCAAGCCAATAAGACTTTTTCCAGTAGCCTGTGCAACATTAGTGACGGAGGTTAATCAACACATTTTTAGATGGCAGACAATTAAATTTCAGTTGACTAAACTGCGACTGAAATTTTTGCAAGTATAAAAAAGATCATCAGCTACTGTCTTTTTTACTGTAACTTTATTCAAACTACCATGTCCAATCCCAGAGTTTTCTTTGATGTGTCTGCCAACGGCACTCCTATCGGCGTAAGTATGGATAGAAAATAAACAATGGCCATATATTTATTTCATGGTTCTGTCTAGCGTATTGTTATGCAATTGAACGCTGATGTCGTTCCCAAGACTGCTGAGAACTTCCGTGCTTTGTGTACTGGTGAAAAGGGTTTCGGTTACAAGGGATCCATCTTCCATCGTGTCATTCCCCAATTCATGCTTCAAGGTGGTGACTTCACCAACCATAACGGTACTGGTGGCAAGTCTATCTATGGTGCCAAGTTCGCTGATGAAAACTTCCAGCTCAAGCACACCCGCCCCGGTCTCTTATCTATGGCCAACGCTGGTTCCAACACTAACGGTTCTCAATTCTTCATCACCACTGTCCCCTGCCCCTGGTTGGACGGTAAGCACGTCGTCTTCGGTGAAGTTGTTGAAGGGTAAGTCGCGATAGTGATTACAGAAACACGGTATTAACTTGTCTATAGTATGGATGTTGTCAAGAAGATCGAAGCTTGTGGCTCCAGCAGCGGTGCTACTAAGTTTAAGGTTGTCATTGAGGACTGTGGTCAATTGTAAATTTTTTTTAGGCTGGTTTTAAAATAATGACTTTTAAAAATAAACTGTTTTATTACAAATACATAATGGACTTCGTATCTGTCATAAACGTTCTTTTTTTTCTATTGTTTGCTTGTTAAACAAGGTCATGTGCTGTTAAAAGCATATCAGCTAATGAACGCGCAGTTGTGATACATACACGAAAAAAAAAAATATGCATTTTTTAAGTAGGATTTGATAAGATCGCAAAAGTCAAGCGGTAAAGATCATTGCTGATAGAAACCGTCATGAAGTGATTTATTCAATCAACTTTGCAAGGCGCACGCTCTTGTGTTAAGGATATTCTTAGTCTTTGCGTTATAACTAATTGATTACACGTCTACTAGTCATATTTCTAAACATGTCCAACAGGGTCCACTCTTTATTATTCAACAATGTTTTATTTCGCCAAATAGGCATTCTCAAAAGTATTTGAAAAAGACAAGCTGTAGCTTAGTATTTCAGAAGAGAAATGATATTGTATTTACAAGATCTTTTATTTACATTATATCATCAAAAGAGTAACTTGATCACTGTGCTCGTGTATCAACTATTCTTCTTTTTCTCTGTCAATACAGCAATCACAATAGTATATATGAATATTGTAAGTATGCAAACTGCGGGTATCGTAAAGCGAACGACTTGAATAGGAGCACAAGTTAATCTATAAACAAACATGTTAATTTGATCAATTAAAACAAGATGATGAAGTGTACTTTTGAAATGTCCAAGTACTGGTTCGCTTATTATGCTCTGGCATAAAATAAGGATCTTCGTCGTCGTCATCGCTCTCTGCGTAAGAAATAAATTCTATTGCTTCTTCTTGCTCATTATCCGATAGTTGAGAGGTTAGCTGACCATATTCTTCTTCTGGTATCATTTTTTTTAGAATGCAGTTAAAAAAGAAAGAAAATCAATTACGTCATGTGCAGAAACAGTCCAAAGACGCGCTCAGAGTTTTGTTTCGTACAAATCACTATTCGCTCACTTTTATTGACATAATATTGTTATTTTTTCTATATTTAATAAAAATCACAAGGCCTCAAAGAGCAACATTGAAGTTGATTGAAAGCATTCAACAAACAAAATAAACGTTACACAGAGTCTAGACAAAATAGCTTAGGTAAGCAATTTACTTGTACGCTGTTGAATTTCAAAAGACAAGCAGAAAAGTGACAGAATAGCAGCAAAGGTGGCGCTTTCATAGAATAATTTACACTTCGAAAAGGAGAGGGGGTCATAAGGAGGCATTTCTATATTGAAAAGACTACTATGTGAACTTTTGGTTTATACTTCTTTTTTTATTCTTTCTTTTATTGCTATGTATACCGTATACTTGTAATATATAGTTAGTCTAGAGAGTATTATGTTTAATAACATTGGCAATCTCATCACTGAGAATGTTTTATTAAAAAGCGAATAGCCAAGAAAAATATGTCACACGTTGAATGAAATAAAATCGAGTTAGTCATGAGACATCCATCCAGGGGAATTATGCATTTTAAAGGAGAGTAGGCGCCGTTACCTGGTTTCATCAAAACATGTGAGACAGTTGTACTCATAATAAAGGTTTTTAACAACTTAATAGTTGACAAGCTAACCTCAAAAGGAAACGCAAACAATGACTTCCTTTCCCCTGCTCATTTCCTATATTCTATATCATCTATGTTGCAGAAAAAGGAGAGAGGTAGACACAAAGCAAGCTAATTTTAGCTCTTTACAAAAAAACACTTTATATTTTTTTTATTAATGTATCACAATTGAAGGAGTGTGAAGAATAGTATGATTAAGACGGTAAATGTAGGCTTTGGAGAAGTAATAAATTGCTTGTCATACCATCGTCATTGTCTTGGATAAGTAAAGACTGAAGTTCTGGTGCCTGCATCAAAACTTCCATAAACTCTGTTCTCAGGTTCAATCCTTCAAGAATATGAAGGTTTTCCAAGGATGCTTGCTTGTCTTCAGTAAAGTCATGGCATTGAATCCATTTGCCTACTTCAGTTGTCATATAAAACTGAACATGAGCAGGTGAGCTAACAAAGAATTCTAGTCTATTCTCTTTCATACGGATGTATTGTACGATGTTGAAGCTGATGTCTATACGAAAGCTTTGCTGTTGCTGTTCATCACCAATGCACCACACAAGTGTACGTGTGGATAAATCGACTTGACAGTTTAAGTTACAAACTCGTTTCCATGTACCAATTTGAAGTGTCTCTGCTGCCAGACCAAATCGTTGTTTAACAGGACCTACAGAAAAAATATTAAAATACATGTTATTGTCATACATGTGTACATTTACCAGCTGTTAAACTCGTAGCCGTTGGTTCTTCCATAATGATTGAGCTGTAGAATTGTCCTTGTGGGACAAAACTAGATTGCTCGTAGAACGAAGACGACTGATGAGAAGTTGGAGGTCCAAGCGATGCATGTCTTTCATGCTGCACAGACTTACTACGGTGATAATATGGGTAGGGGCCAACCGAATGAGCTCTGGCTCGTTCGGACGTTGATGATATAGAAGAAGACCGCTTATAGCCGGGATGATTATCCGAGGCAGTAGATGAACTTGAAGTTGAGGCAGACAACGTGAGGTCGGGCATCGGGGTATTTGAAACCCACATGTTATAGGGAGGCATGGCACTTGAGCGGGTGCTTTGGAGTGCCGTCGAACGATTCGTACTGATACCTGCAGTCATAATATTATTCGAATCTGATAATTTAGTTAGCTGATACTGTTGTTGTATTTGTTGAAAATAATAGTAGTAGTAATAGTTGTACAAGTTAGGGTCTATCGTGCCTGATTGCTGCTGCACTGCAGCAGATTGGCAAGCGGCTGCTGCCGCACTGGCTGCATATTGCTGTTGCATATACAATGTCCTGTCTTGCATCTGCATCGACCGCTTAGCCTGACTTTTCATTTTGGCACGGCGATTCTGAAACCAAATCTGAATTGAACGTTCAGGCATACCCAATTGGTGAGACAGCTGCTCTCGCACTCGACTGTTGGGTGATGGGTTCATGCTAAATGACTTCTCCAAGACGGCGAGTTGCTCTGGAGTCGTTCTTGTTCGTTTACGTGGACGAGCTATGTTGCCATCGAACGGCAAAGGAGGGATAACGAAAGGGGGTGGAGGGGGCATCATTGTATTAATCATTGAAGGTCTTTTGGTATCCATATCGTATTGAAATTGTTGAGAGAGATCGTTCAGATAATCTACATTGCCATCATTACTATTATTATTGCTACTAGATGTGTTGCTAATATATGAGCCAGATATGGGTGGCATCATGCTTAAAGTATAAATAAAGAAAATAAAAAAGAAATGTAAACCAAGGAAAGAAAAAAACTATAAAAATTTAGTTTTATAATTATAAATAACACAGGGTTGTACAGTGATTTATCCATTCAACCTATAATCTCTTACTGCCATCGGATCATCGTTTGCTACATGAACAAATGAAGCCACTGAAATGGCTACTGTCATACCATATAAGGATTAGATGAAACGAATGATCATCACTATGGATACGCGTGCATTCATCGTTGTCGTTCGTGATCGATAAAAGTTGAATGGTAATCGGGCAATGAAACTGATGTACCTTATTTTCGCTTGCCACACGTGTTGAAGTATTTGATTTGTGTAACACGCTGAATGACAAGATAAAAAAATGCTGGTTGATATTTTCAATTGCTTTCACTGGGAATTTCGCATGAGAACAAAGGTTTTATTTATATTTAAAATGTAACAATGGTTTCTATAATTAATCTCTATGGAAACAGGGGGGTATTATTGTTCTACGTAATCTGGAGGTGGAATCGAAGGTATCTTTTCAAGCTTATTATGTGTTGAAAACAACTGAAATTGAGATGCCATCTCCATTTGCCTACGAAACTTGAAGTAGCATGGACATAGCTGTGGCTGCGGTTCCGAAGAAGGTATTTGTTCATCGGAGTCTGGTTTGCACTGTAACATTAAATCTTGTTCCATTATTTCCTGCAGCATTTTATTTTTATCGTCGCCGTGACTAAGGTCAGATGTAACATTCAATTCTGAATAAGATGGTAATCTTCCATAATCCTCTTTCAGTCGGCAATCAAAGACGGTAATAGGAGTCTCCAATCGAATTGTTTCTCGCTTTCTTATAACTTGTGTACCATTTTCTTTTTGGTTAGTAGGCTTACGTAATTTGGATAACCACGTCGACTGTTGGGAAGGATTGGTATTAATATTATTCATATGATGAATCACCGTCGTATTCGTTAGGACTGGTTCTCGAGGATACGTGTTTGGTGAAAATGCTGCTGGTGGTGGCGTTACAAGCGTATTAGCCACTTGTGCTGCCTGTTGCTCAATGCTGTGATCCATACTAATATGGTTAGTGTTGGGTATGGCGGAACTTTGCTGAATCGTCGATCCAGATGTTTCTTCTCCAAAACTGCTTGTGCTGCTATTGGTGCTTAACATTGGTCGGGAAAAATTAGTATCGTTATCTACAAATGAAATCGTCATGGTAATGTTGAGATGATGTCTGAATAGAATGTCTTTATAATATGTTGTATGATGTATATTTCGCATGCAAGTGGGGGTAGCAAATGTGATTCTGTAGGCAATTGTGTTGGTCAGTTCGACTGCATTTCCATTCTTAGTAAACACAGATCGTAAATCGCCTTCTCCATCAGTCACATCTTCTCCGCCCTCAACTAGTTTGACAGATTTTAAAAAGGGTAAAGTGAACACTTCTGTATCTGTTCGATTTGCTCTCGCTTCAGCAACATTATAACGACGACTTTCAGTGACAGAGAGTTCCATGTGTTCCAGACGCACCTTCTTACGGTGTGGCTCTAAAATTAGCCTTAAAAAGAATAGGTCACCAGAGGAAAAGGCGGCACGTTCCACTACTAATTGTATGTCAGCGGCGGGTAAATGTTTTTCATATGTGCGAGAGAGATCTTGCAGAGAGTTATTGGTCAGTAGAGAATCAGACATGTACGCGCGAAGTACAAGAACAGGCTTGCTTACATGCCAACTATTTAGAATTTGCTGTAGTCCGCTAGCATACAATGCCACCTTGGCATCAACCGTATGTCTTACTCGTCCATAGACATCTTCAATAGTCTCCACAATTGACTAAAAAAGGTAATTAATACGCCATGTTTGTTTACTTGTCCATTTCGCTCGATCACTTACATTAGGAACAATGAACGCAAATGGAAATCGGTGCGTCCCGGCTGGCAGTTTAATGAACTCATTCTTTCTGGCTTCCAAAACCTGAACACTTTCCTCACTTAGGATCTTTTCATGGGTCAGTCGTGTTCCTCGATTGCCAATACCTAAGATCACACATTATATGGTCAACCTATGTCATGTATATCACATATCTACTCATTTACCTTCTGGCCAGTAAGTGGTGGCGACTGATTTAAAAGTAACTGTCATCCCAGTGATTTTGGTTGCCTTGGATAATGTCAAGACGACGGTGCCTGTAAATACTGATGATGCGTTCTCTGAGGGCGGTCCTCTGAGAATTAAGGGCTTAATTGGATCAAAGGATATCTTTTCTTGCGACAGTAGGCCTAAGTGCATCCTCAAATGATTGGTTTCGAAAAGAAATCAAAAGAAAAATTTTATAAAATTTAAACCATTTAGACCAAAGTGTCGTTCGGAAATTAAATTGCGCCCTTTTTTTTCGTCCTTCAGTTCCGATTGTCTGGACTTTAGAACCCTGATGCGTCAATTCTGCATAATGTACTGCTGCTTTCAATAGAGAATGTCGGCTTTTTAAATGAATAAGCATCCCACTTTTTAACATTGACAAATCAGGGTCTTCTTCTTTGATCTGTAATATGTTTATGACCAGCTGTAAGTTCTCTTTTATATAAAATTGACAAGTCAAGCCATGATACATTGGTTCTGAGTACTGTGTACCTAAATGCTCAACAGTTTTTTGATCTATTTATAACTGCTTTAACTTAAGTAAGGTAACGCGAGTAATAACTAGTTTATTTGTTTGAGATATATCAGAAGATATATATCTCACGGACAAGTTATTGCTGTGTTGATTCGACAGATTGATATCGATCTATGGATCCACGTGCGCACTCGTAATCGTCTGGGCTAGGCCTTAAGTTTGTAAATATACAAGGTTCTAAAGTAAATTCTTGTAAATGATAATGATATCATTTCCTATGAACAGAAGTCAGTAGAATATCAGGAACCATAAAGTATGTTGGCATATGAAATCAAATGACTACAAGATCATATTTGGATACACCAACTGCTCGCAGTAGTTGAATATGTAGCTTATATTCAAAATAACCTTGGCTCCTATCGTTCTATAGATCTGTAACTTTGTAAGATCCTTATTGAAAGATGCTGTACAACGTTTCCATTGTACAAAACACATGTGGATGGTAGTCGAATGATTCGCTATATCGTTCTTCTCTAAAGTCATTTCTAGCTATTATGGTCTTTTATGCCCAGTGTTACAGAAAGAGCTCAACTAGGTGTTGGATGCCTGTCTTATATCGCCTATTGAAAAGAGCTTGACAAGTAATACTTATTCTTGAAAATAACTAATTTTGACGAAATATGCGCGGCCTTCAATGTAGAATTAAAGTTATATAGAATATATAAGCTTAAATCCTAACAGCTATATGCCGTATCCTTTATAGGTATCAATATCATAGTCTGACAAAGTGCTTCAACTTTTATCCTTGCTTCCCGTTAATACCCAATCTCCGTTGCACCGAAAAGTCGGAAGAACTAATCGAAGGTTCCTTGAGCCTGTTTGAATCAAGGTTTTGGCAAAGGAAAAGAAAGATGCTGATCTTTATGAGTGATTATACAATAGTTTATATTAGTCTCAAGTCTACACTGTATCTTTTTGCTGATACAATAGCCAAGTAAAGTGCCATTTTAGGATAACAATGCATTGCCATAAACAATGCACTGGCCACATCATCGGAGAGGTATTATTCTATTGGATGGCGTTAGTGTAACATTTCAAAAGCAGTGGTAGTTGAAAAGATCAAGCTATAGAATGGACATGAGTAAGAGGGAAGGTGCTTGGTAGTAAGCAAAAGCAGAATATATAGCTTAAACGTAGTTTCCCAAAAGTGATTTCTGCATAAAATATTGAAATGAATTTTTGAAAGAATATGGCAAACTCAAGATCGTTTGATACGCGTGCATACTTTAGCTTGGAGCTTCACATTATGAGAAAAAAGAAAAGCTGAAGTATCTATTTTAATAAGGTATAAAAAAGGGAATTTCAGTATTTAGTTGGGCCACCTTTTGCCTTAATAACAGCTTCATACCCTCTCGTCATATTTTCAACTAAATGGTCAGCAAACTCAATATCCAATCTTGCCTATTCTTCTTGTAGGGCCACCCTCAGCTGCTCCACATTGTTGAAGGAAGACCTTTTCTTCTCAACTAGCTTTTCAGTGCATTTCAAACCTACTTAATAGGGTTCAAATCAAGGCCTGAACAGACCAGTATTCAAAGCACTTAGCTTGATGTGACTTTTTCCACTATTGAGAACAACTACCTTTAGCAAGAAAGTCATCCTTTTGGAAGATAAAGTCCCTCTACTGAATTGTACTGATATTCGCAAGCCAGGGATGCAGTCTGTAGGTCAAAATACTGATCTATTTTTCCTGGCCAATAGAGCCCATCGTCAACGACTTCTAAAGTTCCGAAGCCTCTTTCTCAAAAACTTCCCCAAACTATATCCCCATTGCCATCAATTTCACTGTGGGCACTATATGCCTTTCCTTGTAGCCTTCTCTTTCCTTTCGTAGTACTATTTTATCGCAGCCTCAAATCACACGTATCCACTGGCCTTGGTCCAATTGACATGTTTCTTTTACCAATCGAAGCTTACTTTTATGGCACTTGCTGTTAACCTAGGCTTGGAAGCTGCCTTGCACAATTTGAGGACCAATTTGAGATTGTTATCTGAGATTGAATTAAAATAGATGCATGATCATTATACAAAGAACAATAAGGTTTTCTTTATGAAATCAGGGACCGTTGTCAATCTATTTTTAGTTATACACCATTTCTAGAAGCCAGCGGATCAAGAGACTCATTTTTTCCGTTGTAATGTTATCAAAATAATAACAAATACAAGAGAAACAGTTCAATATCAAACTTGATAGCAATATTAACAGCTGCAATTAATATAATATTTTAATTATCCTGAATAGTTATCGCTACCCTCCGCCAGGGTGCACCTTGGTGGTAAGCAAAACTAATATTGGTATATACTCTCTTTTCTACATATATTTATTATCTCTTTCTCTCGCTTGACATGATATCATCATTGGCAACTATTATTACTCTTACATACAGCATCATTTTATTCCTAAAAATACAGTAGTCCATGCTTTTAGTGTCTTATCAGCTATTTGTAGCAACTATAAATAGTACTTATTCTTTGGAAATTAATAAGCATTTTTCTGCCCTTGCTTCGAGTCAATAGCATTGCATTGCTAACTGATATTGAGATTTGAAAATAGAAAGTGAGTATAATTTTCTTAGAGCTTTGGTTGTAAGCTCAACGTCGTGTTAATGCATGTAACGAGGCTTCGATGCCCTAAGAATCATATTTAGATTATAGCAAAAATAGAGCCAGAAATTTACTTGTCAGGATTCTATTTTGATGATACAAACGTTCAAGGAAATCTCAGTTGGCTCTTTAGAGAATATTTACAAGTTTCTCATACAATTGGAAAGGTCAAGGCGATGAGGTAACCTATTGGGCTTATCAAATGTATGAACGACATGCTCTATTTTATATCCTCGTATTATTTACGCCATCTTCTGGTAGTAAAAATGTTTAAGAGATGCCACCAAAAGTCACTGCTTGCATTTCATTCACTCCTGAAGCAAATTATTCAATATCTATACATAAACACAAGTATGAGGCTGGCCAGCTCAAGGAGAGTGATCTTTGACAAATATCTAACAAGACAATCCAAAGCGACGAATTTAACTATGCTAACTATAATATAATAATACATACAAAGACAGGAAAGCTTTTTTCTTCCTGCCTTTTTTATTCAATACTCGAGACTGTATCTGCTTGATGAAAGCTATTTCACTTCAAATTCAACAAGCTGGGATATTTTTCTTGCAGTAAAAACGGCGATGACATCTTCTACGGGCTCATATTCAATCACCGAAACTTGAACCTCAAACACATTGGCTCCTTTCTCTTTTTTTTTTCCCTTTTCCTAAAGCTTTATTTTCTATATAAAATGGCCAAGACTCTTAGTGCTCGTGAAGCTTTTGAACTTCACAAGGCTGCTGTTACCAGAGACTTTATCGCAAAGCCTCGTTTAGGTAAAACTTGCAGACAAAGTTTATGATGAAACGCCACTTACCAAAAAGAATAGATTACCGTACTGTCACAGGTGTGAATGGTCCTTTGGTCATTCTCGATAACGTTAAAGTAAGCATTGCTTCGTGTTTTTTTTTAACCTTCATTCTCTTATTCAAGTCACTGTCACTATCTAGTTTCCCAAATTCTCTGAAATTGTCAACCTAACCCTTTCTGATGGAACGGTCCGTCAAGGTCAAGTATTGGAAGTTCAAGGCAAAAAGGCAGTTGTTCAGGTAAACAGACATCTTGTTTAGATAAATCAACATACTGAGCTTTTGTAAAGGTGTTTGAGGGAACTTCTGGTATTGATGCCAAACAAACTCACGTTACCTTTACTGGCGAAACACAACGTATTCCTGTCTCGGAAGACATGTTGGGTCGTATCTTTAACGGATCCGGTAAACCCATTGATAAGGGCCCCAAGATTTTTGCCGAAGACTACTTGGATGTCAACGGCTCTCCCATCAACCCCTTTTCTCGTATTTATCCTGAAGAAATGATTCAGACTGGTATCTCTGCTATTGATACCATGAATTCTATTGCTCGTGGTCAAAAGATTCCTATCTTCTCTGCTGCTGGTCTTCCTCACAACGAAATTGCCGCTCAAATCTGTCGACAGGCTGGTTTGGTTCAAAAATTGGCACCCACCAAGGGCGTTCATGATGGTCACGAGGAAAATTTCTCGATCGTCTTTGGTGCTATGGGTGTTAACATGGAAACAGCTCGTTTCTTCAAGCAAGATTTCGAAGAAAACGGTTCCATGGAGCGTGTTACTCTTTTCCTTAACTTGGCTAATGATCCTACGTAAGTAATATCGCTATCTGCCTTATTGCTTTACTCACTTTGACATAGTATTGAACGTATCATTACACCTCGTCTTGCTTTAACCACCGCTGAATATTATGCTTATCAACTTGAAAAGCACGTCTTGGTTATCCTTACAGATATGAGTTCATATGCCGATGCTTTGCGTGAAGTTTCTGCTGCTCGTGAAGAAGTGCCCGGTCGTCGTGGTTATCCTGGTTACATGTATACTGACTTGTCCACCATTTATGAACGTGCCGGTCGTGTCGAAGGCCGTAACGGCTCCATCACCCAAATCCCTATCTTGACTATGCCTAACGATGGTAAAATATCATTATCCTTTTGGCTTCAGTTCATATCACTCACTGCTCATTAGATATCACTCACCCTATTCCCGATTTAACTGGTTACATTACCGAAGGACAGATCTTTGTTGATCGTCAACTTGACAACCGTCAAATTTATCCTCCTATTAACGTCTTGCCTTCTTTATCACGTCTCATGAAGTCTGCTATCGGTGAAGGCATGACCAGAAAAGATCACGGTGATGTCTCTAACCAGTTGGTAAGTGATGTTTGTTATTATTATTATTACGAATGCTCATTTGAATAGTACGCCAAATATGCTATTGGTCGTGATGCAGCTGCCATGAAGGCTGTTGTTGGTGAAGAAGCATTAAACCAGGAAGACAAATTATCTCTTGAATTCTTGGAGAAGTTTGAAAAAACATTTATTGCTCAAGGAGCTTATGAATCAAGAACTATCTACGAATCTCTTGACCTCGCTTGGTCTCTCCTTCGTATCTTCCCCAAGGAACTGTTGAACCGTATTCCTCAAAATATCTTGGCTGAATTCTATCAACGTGAACGTAACAAGAGATCAAAGGGTGTATTTGATACAAACGATGAAGAACCTAGTGCCGAGTAAGACAGAAAGGTCAGAGAAGCAATTTGTTTGTAATAAAAGCGATTTCAATTGAAAACGGATACCAAATATAAAGATGGCTTCCTCTCTTTTTTTATGTACACATTTATTAATATATTAAAGTTCCCAAATACTTTCTGTGGGCTTTTCATAATTTAGTGCTGGCTCTTTCTTTCGCTTGCGATCAATTTCTGTAGTGAAGAACTAGAAGAAATCTAGTGAGCAAATGTAGCAAGTGTGAACAGAATGGATATACTTACTGTTGCATATGTATGATCCAAGAAATCTTCAAGATTATATTTTGGTTTCAAGAACTGTTCACCAAAGATCTTGGCGAGAGTGGATACATTGGCGTAGTAATGTTCAGACAATGTCTTTACTTCCCAAAGTGATGAGTCAAGCGCTTTACATTCATAAGGATCCAGGTTGTCCATTGTAAATGGATCAGCGGCGGCATTATCGATTGCTTTGTTGCTGTGTATGAGACACATACATGTAGGATGACGTTTTAAGAGATTGTAGATGAACGGAATGATGATCACACAGGCAGCGGGTGGTGCAGTGAGGGATAAACGAGCCAAACGCTTAATAAATGCAGCAATCAATGTGGCGGGAAGGTATCTATGGTTACATGTTATCATCAAGTTTGTCAAAATGGCTCATGCTGACTTACGCAGAAGATAAAAAGAGTTCTAATAAACGGAAGAATCGAGATCTATACTTGACGTGCATAACATTTCTATCCAATAGTGTATAAAGTTTCTTATAGAAATCAGGATAATCTCTGTTGGATAATGATTAGTAATATTCCTTATTCATAATGGTTTGATAGCACTTACAAGTTATGGTCTACAATCAAAGTAAATAAGCCATTGAGTGCTAACAAACTGACGGCTCCTCCAACATTGTATGAATCCGTCAAGAAATCCATCAGCAGTTTTGGTTCTGCCAAGTGTGGCAAAATTCTTTTATGCAAGATCAGCAGAATCTTTTTATACATTTCTTCTGTGAGAGGCAACTTTAAGAATGCTAACCAGCAGTCAGAGAATCCTCGACGATGAACGGTCAATTGAAGTAAAGGGTGTTTTCTTTTCTTTTTCTGATCATTTTCTTCTGTCAAAGGTTGTTCATCATCAGACAATAAACCTTCATCACCTAAAATCTCATCATCCTCTGATTTGGTCTTCTTGTTGTTATCATCATTCTCATATTGTGCTGGGTTGACCGTCCAAAACTCGTCAATTTCCGAGGCATCTGTTGGCATAGTGGAAATGTTTTCCAAGATTGAAAGGACATTACCAGCCATCAATCCAAGGTCGTCTTGTTGTACCTCTTCACTAAACTTGGGCTTTTTCTTTTTCTGTTCAACCTCTGTTGTGGACTGTTTAGTTTGATAAGCACGGTTCATAACTTCACTAGAATGATCATAAGAAAGCTATAATAATATCATAAAAGGTTACTTACGCTGCATCTTTGAAAAAGTAGTGCCTTAGATCATCATAGACATTCAAGTATTTTTCAACAACTTCCTTGCGAAGATGATCATTAAAGTTTGGGTTAGTGACGATAGCCTTGATAATCGGGCCATAGACGTGGTTGGCAAAGTGATAAGCACCCGATGTATTCATGGCATATTCAGATTCTGATTTAATATTGCTCATTAATATGTTAAGAGCAGGTAGTTGAAGACCAGGTTCGTCGTTCCAAAGCAAGGTTCGCAAATGAGCAAGGTAATCAGTGTATTGACTACGAAGCCAGATCTGTACTTTCTCCTTGGCCGATGGTTGATCAGTGTTCTTTACTCTTTTTAAATCACCTTTCATCAAAAAGACAGTGAACACACGATTGAGAGCGTGGATCGCAGCATGGCATATTTGTGGGTTGTCACTTTTGGCAAACTTGAAGAGGTCAACAATGTTGTTTAAATTGGATTTATCTGACAGACTAGCTTCTAAAGTTCTAATCGTTTGACGAGCTTCCTTAAAGCTTTCTGTTGATCCAGTTTCTCTTTTTCTTTTGTTTGCTTGAGGCATCGTTCAAAGTTATAAAAAAGAGGAGATCTACAGGAAAAAAAAGGTAAAATTAAAGGTTATCCAGGTGGCTTTGCTATTGCCTGCAAAATGATTGGTCAGTTACCTTTATCTGACAGTTGCTTGGATGCTTGAGGGCAATGCAGTGTAGCGTTTTTAACCGACTTATTAAGAGAAAGGTATATTACATGTGTCTACTTCAAGTTAACTTGGCTGCTATTTTTTCAGATATTTAATTGTTATCTAACAAGGCTCAAAAATAACGTAACTGAGTCAAGTTAAGGATACAACAAATTTTAATATATGATAGTATTATTAGTAAGTAGTCTTTCTGTCTTTACTTTTCTGTTCTTTCTCCCTCAGGTACAACAAGTAGGAAGAAGGGACAAGACGACAACCCATCATGCGAGTGGAAAATAATACAATTAAATCACCGCTTCTATATTTTTCTCCTTTTCTCCTTTTCTCTATCTCTCTCTCTTTCTCTCTTTCTCTCTTTCTCTTTTCTTTTAGTCAACCATGAACAACACAAAGGCTCTGATGGTTGGAAGTATACCGATTGGGCTGTTAATCATTACACACTTAAAGTCATTGCCGTTTGCTTATACAGTACGTTCATGGCTGTTACTGAGAACACTTATAAAGAGAGCAAAGACAAACAATCTACAACCTGATGGTAGACAAGCAGATATTATAAAAAGTAAATAACGCTCAATATTTATTAGATTTATTCACTGTTGTATCCCAAAGCCATCGATGCTATTTGGATGATATAGACTATAATCAACATATGGTAATCTATTATAGAGTTTAAATAATTGCTATTTTTAATCACTCAATCTCACGTAACAGAACAATAGGTAAAATAAGGAACATATTACAAGTGTCACATGACTGACCGCCTTAAAAGCATGTACAACAAATTACTTGACTTTAGCCGAATTCATATCTTGTATACAGTTATGCCTAAAGTCATGATGGAACCAAATCACCATATATTCGCTCATAATGCAGGTGTTTTGACTCTCTTCAAGAAAGAAATTCCTCCATTTTCAAAGTTTAACATCGAGAGTCGTATTTACACTTGGAATGATAAATGGGTTTTCTTACAACATAGATTTGTCTTTGATGATGGCAGTGTTGCTTGCTATGCACTCAGTAAGATTGTATTTAAAAAACTGTCCGGAAAGACTGTTCTTCCAAAGCAGGTGTTTGAATTATGTGGGCATGATTTGGAGAGTAATGAAATAGAGGAAAGAAGGGCTCATAATTGGAAAATAGCTCAAAATATGTTAAATTTGGATCAATTGGTACAGGATATGTACCCATGGTCAGCAAAGTTGTAATAAAGGGACCTTTTATTTTAAACTCCATAGTTCTGAATATAATGGTAACTTTTTTTAAAAATAAAGATAAGGTACATTCAACTTATTTCAAAGCTATTTGAATCAAACAACAATGTACAAGCAATGGATAAGCATGAAAAAACCCACAACATTATCGCCTCTCAAATAGCAAATAAAGACACTACCCTTTGTAAATAAGTTCAAAAACGATAATGATAAACTAGATGTGATAGATAAATTAATCCAGAATTGAAAATATACTTGATGTCTCAATTCCTCTAAGCACTGTCCATAATAGGTACATTATGCTATAAATAAGTAAAAGTAGTGTCTAGTTTTCTACTTGATATTAAGATGTTTATTGAAGTTGGTGTCAGCTTGATGTTCTGATATCCTGGTGTTTACCTGATGTCCTTGACAGGAATCAGCAACAGTCACGAAGCTGTTAAATCACTGTAGATGTCAAATGTTGTCCAAAATTAAGTCGTGCTATCTTCTTTCGTTCAAGTAATAAAGATATGTGCAATTAACGAGGTTTTAAAGGCCAAATTGATTTTCAATAGTAACGTGCATAATGTTAAAGGCAGAAAAGTAAGCTTACAACCTTTACTCATATAGCTGTTCCAATACTCGGCAAGCGAAAGTTGAATGGCCAAAAATCATCAATTTTCAAACGAACAAAGATTCATTACAATAACGACCTGCAGTACAGAAAGCGCTTTGATGCTTCTATGTGCTGATATCGTATTTCAACATTTATGTTAAAGAAGATTATACACCTTTTGTCGTCAAATAAACAATGCATTTCGTACACAAGCCAAAGTCATCTTAAATATTAGCATAATACCTTATATTAACCCACAACGCAGATTCATGGCATCTATAGTCTGCAGTAGCTGAAAATGTGTCATATCAAAGATAGTCCATATGTTATATTTAGTGGACAGCATATAAAGATCAATTTCCTTTTTGTCATGAATCTCTTTCTTTTCCTTGTTCATAAATGATTGCAAACAGTCTCATTCCATCTACTTGTGTATTCTAATTTTTCTAGTTATAAATCATTTATTCATCGACAATATCACAGTAGCTTTCTCAACAGCACTACCCTAAATATGATACAAAAAAAAAGGGGTATCAATAGATAGTGAATTAAAAAAGCTTCAAGTAAAGTTTGAAGAAACAACTAGTTTGCCAAGGAGAATATTATCGAAGGCATCAGAGTTAGAGGGATTGGAAAATAATGTAATGACAGATTACATGGAAAAGAATGGTGAAAAAGGAGACTATCAGTTATGGATAGACTTTATTAAAAAACATTTTCAAAGTACTGCAGAAACGTTAAAAGAAAACAACCTGGCTTTTCCGCAAGAAACTTCATCATCAAAAAAGGAAGCTACTGCGACTTCAAAAGAATGCGAGTATAGAACTTGTTCTATATCGGTGAACAAGGCCAAAAGAAAAGACTCGCCTAAAAGTGTAGCAGATATAGTAGACAAGAAAACCAAATATTTCATGTTCAAAATTAACGATTATTGTGCTAGATTTTTTGTAATTACACAAATAATGGCCTCCAATACTAAAAAATTATGTCTTTATTACAAGAAATAGTCAAGTAGAACTGAAAGAGTCGCCAGGCGATGACATTCGCCAACTACTACCATTTAAGTTTGTTTAACAGAACCAGATGGCACCAATTCTGTCAGCCTTGTCTCTTTCAATCGAAGCAATAAAATGCCATACACAAGGACTTTCTCTGCTTTTTTACAGAGCAATATTTAAAATTAATGCATTCATATTAATTTGGAGCGCAAGGTCTATACTAGAAAAGCCTGGTCATATTTAATTCATTAAATATGACTAAACGCTCGTGTCATCAGAAAGAATTAAGAAGAAATAATGACATCGAGATGCTTAAATATTTGAATTGATTGTTGTATTGTTTATTTGTGCTTTTCCCTCCCCATAAAAAATAAATTAAAGACTAGAACATTTATGATTAAATGATAGGCATAAATACATAATAAGCTTGTAAACATAAAGACATAGTCTAATTTGAGAGCATGTTTTCACTATGAATACGACGAAGCAGTAGTCTTTCACGGACAACGACCTCGCTATGGAAAAAACAGTGGCCTTGGAAAACGACTTTCCGGTGAGCTTTTCAAATACATAATGCCATGCAGACTATGACTGTCATACGATCAATAATTGAAACCTTAGCAGGGTTGGTGGCTAATGCAGTAGGGCTACTCATTATGCTCTGTAGCTGCAGAGGTCAATTGGGAAGGCGAGGCAGGACATGAACTGCCAGGCGGCTTGTTTCAGAGGACATAACTACGCAAAGTACTCTTCAGACTCGGGCTGGTTGCATAGCAAGCAGACGAGGGCCAAAGTACGAGCTGGACTCATACGATACAGACGCTGTCATGATGAGACACGTCGATGATAAATGCGCCATAAGGTCGTTCGCACCTGATGCGACATGACGCACTAAGATAGTGTTCGCCTGATTGAGTCGCTGACTACGAGATAAGCCGACCAAAGATGGGTAAATTCGAGTAAGTGGAAACTTGGCCACCAGTGAAACGTTGATATCACGTCAGTTGCTGTTCAATTACAAAGAGTCAACAATGTGGAGGAAGGACTTGAAACAGATTAGATCTTTGATCAAAGGAGCACGACATTCTGGAAATAGAAGTGGTAGCAACGGGAAAGGGCAGCGACTATACTCTTGGAGACAAAAACGTAGGATTGGAGGCACGAAGGACGGCTGCTGCGGAGCTACATGGGACTAAGCAGTAATAGCTATACCCAATGAAGCTGTAGAGCAGCATGCTGATGTGCCGAAGATAGGAACCTGAGTCTACCCTCTCGCAATGTACGTTGCCAGGTTGCAGAGCTAACCCGAGGGAGCTTATTCTGAGACAAGAAGGAGAATAAGATGGTCGTTGTTCGTTGGAAGAAAGTCCAAGGAGGGACGAGGATACGTGTAGCTTACCATATCTGATTAAGAATCAAAGATTTGGCCACCAGGTCATGTCCTTTAATCTACAGATGACACAGGGCCAGCATTTGGCACTGGTTGAGCATAGGGTCGGGCAGACCATCCAGGAATGAACTAAGCTGGGATGGGGGGACATGTAGAGGAAGGCCTAGATACACCGCCGTCGAAGGTCGCGACTGGCCATGCCATTGAACGATACCACGACTATGAAGACTGCATCGCCATGCCAGCAAAGGATCGCCAGAAAGAGAGACAGAAATAGTCTCAGATCTATTCAGCTTGGCGATAGAAACTTGTTATTAGAGATGAGGATATCAAGGACATGAGTTATCTCCACTAGGTCGGACAGGAAGACCAGAACATCACCTGCGTAAGCTATTGTTTTGAGCGACGGGCTGTCGGTTGTAGGAGACAGCGAAGGAAAAGTAAATCCACGTAGTTGAGATAAAGCAATGATCATGCGTAGCAGAGGTTCCATGGCCAAATTAAATAGCAAAGGAGACAAAGGATCATCTTGGCGAAGACCACGCCCTTGGAAAAAAGGTGCCGAGAGGAAACCATTTATATTAACGCATAAGGTAACGCCAAAGAATAATTCCGTAATGCAATCCATGAAAGGGGTAGAGAAACCAAAGTGTGGCAGGCACGAGCGCAGGTAAGAGGGATGAATTCGGTCATACACTCACACTTTTGAAAGATATGAAGAAGAGGTGGGAGGAGTTTATTTTTAATCATATGGATAAAGGAAAACAAAGCGCGGCAAGGAAAACCTGCACCACATTTTCAGTCTTTGTTTCGTTAACGGTGGTATTTGCTGAGTTACCATTTCAGTGCGTAAATGTCTGTTAAAAAAACATGTAGCCCACAAAGAATCAGTTGCAATATCCACATCCATAGCATTTAAACCAGGATCAAACATTGCTACAGCGGAAGGTACTTTTCTTTTCTTATGTTGATCACACTGATAGTGTAAGTGATCGATGCTACTGCAATATTTACACGGGCTTGTACATTCATGAGTCTTATGGTTACCATGTAATATATAGTTCCAACAAGTGTTTTTTTTTTCTTTTAGATATGCCTTGATTTACATTACTTGCATTGGAATGTTGTTATTGATTATGATTGACTGCGGTTAAATGTTCACCAAACATGAGCGACTGTTGTATTTGGTTTTGTAATAGCATCAGACAAAGTAGAAAGTACGATCAGATTGTGTGTATCCTTGCTCTTTTTCTTCTATCTAAAAACTCAGTCACATTACACATAATTCTTACAACTTGCACTTCTTTTCATCTTTGTTTTGTATAATATGACCGAGAATAGCACTGTAAAGAATCCCGAAAAAAGCAAACTGGCGCTTTCAGTAGTACGTCCACTATCAGTCTTGATTCCCCCTTCTTGGACTTCAACAAGCTCATCTGAGTCAGAAACTAATTTCACACTGGATCAAATATCATCCTATGCTAAAAAAATAACTAGCTCCAACTTTAACTTGTTTAGTACCTCATCTTCTTCGTCTACTGCTTCATCACTCAAACTGGACCCAAATGACGAACATAAGCGAAAGATATTGAAAAACAAGTCTCAACAGGGTAAAGCACCATAATTCTTTTATTATTATTATTATTAACCCTCCATAGCCCTTAATGAGTTCACATATGCATTTCTGTTATCACTAAATAATAGTTCACTTGGACTTTATACAGTATCAGATCACATATATCGTAAAGTGCCTCGATTAATAGAAATGAAGAAAAAGATACAACAAATAAGTACTCAAGTGGAAACAGCAGACTTGGACATACAAGACGCTCAAAAGTCAATTTGCGATATAGAAAGAATCGATTCCTTTGTGAATATGTCAAAGATGATCAAATTGTCACTTGAAATAATTGCCAAGGATCAAAAGTCAGATCCTAAAACCCTTCAATAATCCTTATTGTTTATTTTTAAACCGCTCTGTTTGTAAATGTCTTTACAGATTTCCATTTAAAGAGGACTACGACGAGTTCATACAACCCAACCAGTAGAATAATTGGTGAGTAAATGATGTACCAAATGACTTGATGAGCCTTTTCAATCCATGTTACTCGCTGACACTTGAATACACGACGAGCAATGAATAGAAAGAAACCAAAGAATAGATCCACAATAGCACTTGGAATAAGCATACTCAATGTAGGATCGATACCTAAGCATCGCTTTATATTCCATTCACGCTTTAAACTGTCCATTTGCTTGTTTACATTCAATAAAGTGCTCAAAAAGGATGCAGTTAAAAGTGAACCTAAAAAGATAACCGTGATAAACAAGTAAGCAACGAACAGAGTACCCGTTGTTGCTGGCTGATAATAAAGGGTATCAGCTATCCTGGGAGCACTAAATTATACACACAAGTTAGTCTTTTGTCAGTCGTTCCTTGTTTTGTTAATTACTGAAGAGCACCCAAGGTTAAGAGACCCAACATGTTCAATGGCTTAATATCATCGTATTGTAAGGCTCCAAGAGTAACCCAGAAACTAAAGATCACCAACAAAGAGAGAGCAAAGACCCATAGGCTGTTGACGATGCATTGAGTGACAATATGGTTTGTTTTTGCAACGTTCCAAGATAATCTATCCGCAGACCAAGAGCTAAGAAGTCGGAAGAACATCAACGGTGTAGCAAAGATCAATAAGAAGAAGGATGTTGTTAATAAAGCATGCTGATCAAGGAAATAGTCAAATATAACAAGCGCAACAAAACGAGTGACGGCAGAAGCTGTCAAGAGGCCGACTGCTGTAAGTGAAAGATAAGATGATGGCTTTTTGAGATATAGGATGGGATGAGATAGCAAAGCGAACAGCTCCAGAAGTAGATCGGATGCTACAAAGACATAGTACGCATACTCAAATGCAAAGGGCGTGTCAGAGGTATAATCAAGGTTGGTCACAGTTGCAAGATGTAAACCGACATAAACAAAGGCAGAGAACAATGCGACGAGAGCTTGATATCGTGGACTAGGCCAGCGAGCCAAGAAGTTCGTAATCGTGCGTGTGATGACAAGCCATGCAAAGCTTTTACGAACGGCTCCGTCTGATCCAGGCTTCACCCAGATATGACTAGGATGATTCTGATTTTGACGCCAATCTGGGCCCGACTCCCAAAGTTCCTTTGGTTACAGAAAGCTGTAAGGTTACTTTCTTTTTTTAGAGAGGAAGCATTCCTTACCTGAATGACAGTCTGGACTCTTTCGTCGCTCAATATTAACTGACAGTTATTCTCAATTGCCCACTCCAAAGCTAAAGGCATGAATTAGAAACAAAGTAGCTGTGATTACTGTGGTTAGTTACCTGACTTTCCGTTTAACCATTTAACAGTAAGCATTTCATGCAAGACAACTTGTTTAGCTGAGATACCTTGAGCCTTGATTCCCAGAGTAAGCGTTGTGAGGGCCAGGGACTGGAAAAAGATGTCTGTTTCGGTAGAATGACCACTGGATTGACGTCGTTCGTGTAACAATGCCAAAATAGCACAAACTGATGCATTTTTAGCCACGTTAAAGATACTTTCAGCAGAAGAAGGGAGTTGGCTATACTCTTGTACCCTGTCATGTTGAATGGTTGCGCCTTGTCCGACGGGCTTTACACTTGTCGATGTAATCTTGACTCCATCTGCTTCTGATGGAGACTCATGATGACTAGGCGACCAACCATGCATTATTTTCCATTTGTCAGTTGCGAACCTTAGTGTATCGAAAGCAATGTCTCTTTTTCTAAGACGTTTACCGGTGCCTGGTTTTCGATCAAGGGACCATTCGCTAAGCTTCTTCTTTAACAAGTGATGAGCATCATCATCACTGTCGCTGTCGCTATCACTGTCACTGCTACTGTCACTATCTTTTTCAGCTTTTCTAATTTTACTGTTTGCAGTTCGGTTCATTGACTGATGTTTCTTGATTTCATTGAAAACAAGAATATCTTGAATCTTTTCTGTCAACTCACCAACAGGAACAGTAGGCTGCCCAGATGATAGTGATGCATTATTTGACCCGTTCTCATAAGGTTGTTCTGCCATCGTAATCACCGTTTGGCTGTTTCCAGAATTATAATTTGTGCCTGAACTGTCTAAAAGGCGCGTTTGTTCCGTAGCAGAATTCAAAGTAGTCTTGCTTGGTATGGGGGATGCTTGTTCAGCAGAGGATTCACCACCAGACATGACTTGAAATGGATGAAGAAAGAAAGAAAGAAAGGAAATACGTGCTAGAAAAATAAGAAAAACGCATTTCATTGTTGTGCAACAATGGATTGGGCGTACAGTTACACTTTACGAACTTGCCGGAAGCTTTCCGAGAAAGCTACTGTTTTATGAAGGGATACTCTTGGCGCACTACCAAACTGACCACAAAACACGTCATGCACAATTCTCATGCAATAATACTGTCGCATATATAAAACGATGCTGCTTGTAATAATGAGCTTTCTTTCTTTCTTCTTGTTCTTAATAAAGGCACACTTGTGTATTTCTCCTTTGTTGTGACTATGTCACAAACGTCATTGTTTTGAGTTTTGATACAGAGCTTATAAGAAGAAAAGGAATGGAATCGATAGTTGTTAGTTGTAAACTTGTTTACAAAAAGAGGAAAGATGCATTATACCAGTCGTGCCCACATTTTCTGAACATTCCTAATGATACTAAGAAAAGGAAGTTCAGCGTATCAAGTCTAAATTCCTAACAATGTCATATTTTATTGACAATTCTAACAATAAGCATTTTATGGTTCATAATTTACCAAAACAGCTAGAAGTCGTCTAAAAGAAAAACCAACCCTACTTTGACGGAAACTTTGATCAAAGGATTCCCGTTGACTGCCTCAGTCCATTCCCTGCGTGCTCCATTTTCGTGTTCTATATCTACCAAGTATCTCGTTTTATCTGACAAACCATCGTAAATTCCCAATAGCATATCCACTTTACTTTTAACTTCATTCATAGAGGAGAAAATACTGTTGATAATCATATGACGAACTGACAGTAAGAGACGAAAATAAGCAGCAAGTGATGCTCTTTCTATGGTACGCACTTTCAGTGTAAGAGTTTTAAGTGTCGAATTCAAAGGCGCATTCGCATCTATTGCAGCTTGCGATGACGAACGGTAATGGACACTCATCAAGTAGCGGAACGTCTCCATTTGCGCACACATAGTGAGAATGAGCTCAATCCTGAAGTGCTTTCAACACTTTTAAACCCGAAGTTTAAGGTAAAACTTGTGATATTGTGCGAATGTCTTTTGAGTATATTTATGAGTTTTCTTTTAATCTGCCGACATTTTTTGAAACATATACGTACGCAGGAAAGCTTATCTCTGACAATATACTAAATCTTTACAATACTTTGTGAGTATTATTATTAGGTTTTTAATTCCACATCAATATAGCAATGGCTGTCTACTTATTTAGGCCAGTTTTATCATTCTTCTTATTGGTTTGTTGATCATTGTTATTTTTTGATGATTGATTATTTCCAATATTTATTTTTCATTGTTTATTCATTCAAATAATCTAAAAGAAAATCTAGAGTCTTCTTTCACTAAAGCTATTCAATGTAGCTTGAATCCATCTCCACAAGACGCAAACCAGTTCTCGTATTGTGGAGGAAAAAAAGAATAGACCTTTGAGCCCAATAGAGCTTATAGGATCAGGGTCAGCGTAGATCTTGCCAAGTATAGAACACATTGCCGTACTGCCTATGATGAGGTCATATTCTAGCCTATAGCGGCTATTGAGGTCGTACCACCAGAACTCATATCGAGAGTCTACCAAATAATGAATATAAGAGGCGCAACTAGACCTCTTATAGTTACTCTATTCGACGCTGAGAGGCATTATTCACGAGAAGCCTGATGGAAACGCCCCACAAACCTCTCCCCACTTTTTGCCCGCGTGACAGTGCTTTTAAATATATTACATGTTACTAGAAGATTGCTAAGTGAAAAACATGTACGCCATCCCCGCGTAATTATTGCGTGGATAGAGTGCCAGTCATTCAAAATATGAAAGGTAAAGAAAAAAAACTCTCGTGGCCAACCATTTGAAATTTAAAATGGGTCAGGATAATTATACCATGACAACCCCAAGAAGCAGCTCTTGACTATTGTTGCTATAAACAATCTATATTTGACAATACAACAGTAAGATTGAAAATTATAATATACAAAAGATATGATTTGTATTTGACTGATTAAGCAGATAAAGATCAGCTTTATACTATTAACATCGCGCTTGCTGTCTATTTAAATAAAAGAGTCATAGAACAGCACAAAGTCTATGAGCTCTACCCGATCTTTTCTCCATTTATTCAACAATAAAAATAAAACACGCATACAACGGCATAAATCATAGATGTTTTTGCCGAGAGTATACGATCATTTGTTATCGTAAATCTTATTCCCGTTTTTTATTTTTACAGAATATCGCACTAAAGTAATGAATGCACTATTTCGTACCTGAACGATGAGATGAGAACATGTAAAGGGAAAAAAAAAGTGCACTCCCAGAAAACCATGCAATGGAAACGTCACGAGAGCAGTTACTGTTTATATGCACATTTCCTGTAGGATGCTATCTTTTGCTATTTAATTTAAAGTGCAAAAAAGTGCACTCAAGATAAAAGGAGAGAGAGGAGAGATCAGACACTACTCTAGTTGACGTTTGATCATGTTTACAAACACTAAATACTAATCAGAATCGATCTCACCGTGTATGTGCAGCTTGGACACAAATTCGGATGTTTGCTATCTATGCTGACATGTAAAACTATGTCCCTCTTGTTTTATATATCATCTGTCTTTTTACCTAGTTCAATTGGGCATTTTAAAAGTAATTAGGTTATTGATCAAAAGGGCTCATGTGGAATGATCCAAGTTTAAGCCATAAAAAAGGAGAATGCGTGAACTAGTGCTAATTTTAGAAAACATGCTTGTACACAGTAGGCACTTAAGCAGCAGTAGAAGGGAGGAAAAGGGAGAGAGGGGGAGATGCAGGGTAATTCATGTTATGTAAATGATAATAGCGGAGTGGAGCTTTATGATACCATTCAATCTCGGGTAGATTAGCGGATGTGTACTATATATCTTTTGATGCTTAACCCCGTATGTAATGCCGTTCGGTTTCTTAAGGCCTCCTTTTTTTTTTTGAGTAACAGAGAAAGACCGGGATTGCATAATTTATCAAGGGCCTTTCAATGCTTGGAACTAACTTGTTGACGCTGTTGTACATATGGAAATGATCCCTGTCTGCCTCAATATACTTGCTTATAAAAGAACTGAGAAACAATTTGGTTTCTGTATATTTTCTTCACCCTTTCTTTATATTTATTTTTGGTTGCGCTCTTGTGCATTAAAAGCCGTCCATATACCGGGTTGACATTCATACAAGCTTCAACTTTTTTCTTGTCAATCAAATTCAGTTTTTCACCAACATCGTGTATCTGAAGTAATTTATTCGTTCACTCTTTTTATCCTTTTCAACTACACATCATCTATTTAATGTCTAAAGGCATCCTTTCTCACAGTTACGATTATATTCCATCTAATTCAGCGTCTATTCAGCAATTTGATTCAAAGTAAAGTGTCAATTATATAGAATTAAAGTTGATGTTTTTGTAATCTAATGATGCTTTATAGTCAAATAAAGATTAGAGTACGACAGCAACCTATACAAGCTCGTTTGAGTACAAACAGTGAAAGAGGTATATGCATATTAATAACAGTAAAGCATGGAATTAAATATATGTATAAACGATAGACCGTCATCCTGTAGATCCACCGCCTATTGTTCAGATCGAGCTAGATAATTGTAATACACAAGAAACGCAGTAAGAGAATTATCTATAACACAAAAGAGTTAGGTTACTGACTCTGCATTTCCTTTTTTTTTTTTTAAAAAAAAAAAAAGACGGTTTTTACAAAATCCACATTTGATCATGTGTGTCACTTTGATTGACCCTGATACACTAGTCGAGATTGCCAATGCAGCACAGAATACACTTTCTGGACAGACATCATCATCCATGTATAAGCTCAAGGACATAAACAATCAAGGTATCATTTAAACATAACAACATTCTACATGATTTTGATAACACTTTATATAAAAAAGATGGTGGATTTTTTATATTTGGAGATTTATCTGTCAAAGTAGAGGGTCAATTTCGACTAAAGTTCTCCATGTTCAAAGTAGATGAAATAGGAGCAACAAATCTTAAATCAATTTACTCTGATATATTTCAAGTTTACCCTTCAAAAAACTTTCCAGGAATGCTCGAGCCCACCTTTCTTTCTCGTTCATTCTCAGATCAGGGTGCAAGAATTCGAATCAGAAAGGAACACAGAGTGCAAATGTAAAGAAAAAAAGGTGCCTCCTTTATGATGTACTAAAGCATTTATTTATTTCGGTTAAAAGGACAAGTACGCGTAAAAGAAAGCTCTCTTTTGACGAAGAATCAACCGAAGAAAGTGATCATACCAAATGGGTTAACTTGATGAATCAAGCCCGTGGCCAAGTCTCTTATTTACCAAACTCACCTTATCCCACACCAGCCTCTCGTATACCAAATCATACATTTACCGTGACGTACAACACTCAGTGGCATATTCGAAAGGGTAACAATGAACATCAAAAGCACGACATGAAAGAGACACGATCAACCGGGAGAGAGAATATGGTTAATGCATATCCACCACAATTTGGCCGAAGAACGAGCGTTCCTTTTTCACCTCCTCATCAATTTCATGACCCACATTTATTCAGAACTTTCAATACAAATATAGAATATTGCCACGATCGCAGACCTCCTAAAAATAATCTCATGCCTTCACCTCCGCTGCAGACTGTTGTACATCCAAGGCATGAACAATACAGGCGATCAAGCTATGATGAAAGAAGCATGCCACTTCGGGAACAAGCAAATGACATGGAACGTTATCAGCCCTTTTTGCCTAATCACAGGCGTATGTCCTTACAGACCTATCCTCATTCTTCCATGACAAGTTCTTTTGGTGGAGGACCAATTCATTTACCCCCTCTACGCTCAGTGGTGCCTATTGTTACTTTTCGTTCACCGTCTTCTATTTTGGAGCAAGATGAAATAGGAGAAGTGGATGCAGCAGTCGCAATGATGCAGCTGGCTTCATTGAAAAAACAAAAGACAGTAGCAAGTGAAATAACCAGCTTCATTTGAAAAAACTAGGGGAATATTCTAGGTCTGGCACTCTATAAAAGTCCTACATGTTTTTTTTTCTTTCTTGGCTTGAATCTATTGAACAGTAGTAGTAATATTTATTTACATATTTTGTAATGTATATTTCTCTTTTTAACATGTATAGTCTTTTTTATTTGTTTATTTAAAGTCCCATCCTTCTTACGAGGATATATATCAAAACTGTTTTCAATGCAGGTTTTTCTATTTTTATTTCTTCGTTTCAAATACTTCGGTTGAATGCATATGAATCATAACTAGCAATATTTCCAAATGTGTCAATTACTAGTCATCTCTTTTTACCGTATATTTCTTAATGTCATAACAACAATGATTTCATTTGAAAGCCTCTTCAATGTCCAAAAATGATGTATACAGTGCTTCTATCGTCAATTGTATACTTTTTTTTCCTAAAAATAGACACCTTTTCTTCTTTCTGTGTATTTCGCTCTTTAATGCAGATCAATATACCCATCATCATATGCACACACACACACACAAACACTATAAAGAAATAAAGATGTATTGTCTACAAAATAGTCTGACATTTCATAAATATCATTGGTTTATTAAGCAGAGTGGAGAATTTCCAAAAACTTCTTGCTGGCAGCAGTAGAAGTACCCTTCTTCTTTTCAGTCTTGGTAACCTTACCAGTCTTTTGAGACTTGATGATTTCAGCACGACGAAGAACTTGAGCATAAGGGTTGAGACGGTTCATGACACCTTGATTCTTGAGAGGGTTCTTCTTTTGGGTGAAAGGACGCTTGTGGTGCTTACCGCCAGCAGGACGAACGACAGATTGGATTTCGTCAGAGTTGATGAGACGTGCAACATCAGGGTTAGTCATGATGTGAGCGGGCAAGACATAGTCCTTCTTCAAAGCAGCAGGAGCTTCATAAGTACCGTAAAGCTCATCGAGAAGAGCGAAAGCAGACTTGGTCCAGATGATGAAACGACCGAGGTGACCACCAGGAGCCAACTGCAACAAGTTGAGGCGACGAACGTTAACAAGTTCGAGACCAGGCAAGTTGCGGAAGGCCTTGACAAGGCCATTGTCTTCATTATAGATAACGAGAGGACCACGGCGTTGGCGATGACGACGGTTACGAAGCTTACCTTGGCCAGCACGGAGTTTACGAGAGTTGGAAACTTTAACAACATCGGCATAGGCATTGATAGCTTTCAATAAAGCGACGGCTTCTTTAGTCTTGGTCAATTTTTCAACAGAATCATCAATAACAAGAGGAACCTCCTCAATCTTTTCAACACGATGACCACGAGCCATGACCAAGGAAGGAAGGGCAGAGGCAGCTAAAGCAGAAACGGTAGCAAAACGCTTTTGGTTCAAGTTAGTCTTGACTTGCCACTTTCTCCAAGTCTTTGTGGGAGCAAACATACGACCACCACGACACATGTTACCAAAGGCAGCTTGACCAGCACGGTGAGTACCTGAGCCGTTGACACGAGGAATACGAGCAACAGCACGACCAGTACCCCAAGATTCAGCAGAGGTTTGTTCACCGGCCTTGGCAGAGACAGAGTGAGGTTGGCGCTTGTTCTTGGCCATGTTAGTGTGGACAAAGTTGACAATGTCGGGACGAATGGGTGCCTTGAAGACAGCAGGAAGAGGAACAGTGGTGGTGGTGGACTTGCCTGAATCGGCATAGACATTGATGACAGGTCTGGCAGCGGACTATTGTAAAATGAACATGTTAGTGAATCTGCAAATCTGAGCACATGCCATCATCTCATGTGTAACAACAGTTGACATGCTGTTATTGCGTTGTCAGCGTAAGATGTTATACTGTGATGTGAACAGAGAGAGAGATGGATGGATGGATGGATAATTAATGTACTTTACCATCTTTGTTTTTTAAGATTGTAAGAGAAGGATTCAAGGAGTAAACAATAGACCTCTTTGTGCCATGATATACAGCGTGAGGCGCCGCCGCACTGGTCGGGTTTTGAATTGTACCTTCTTGTTCAACAGACTCATTCGCTTTTTAAAGCATCTTTGTTCTGCTCCCTTTTTGAAATGCCTAAATCACGATCCACAGAAGAGCTTGAACAATTAGCCAACATCACAGTTGATCATAACATTCCAGTCAAACTGTACTTCCGCTCTGCAGAGTTATTACTTAAGCAAGCCCGAGTATATAAACTTGAAAATGACTTGGAACATGCATATATTCTTTATATGAAATATACAAAGTAACCATTCTATTTTATGCTGAACAATAGATAGGAGCTAATATGTAACTATTAGCTTAGGTGTTAACGAGCTACCGAAACATCCGGGATATAAGAAACCTGAAAATAAGAAAAATATTAGGGCCTTGAATAAAGTAAAGATACACAAGAAAAAAGCTTGGCATCTTTCTAACATGCTATAAAGAACTGCCTGGAAGCGCTAGAGGCTTTAGAAAGCATAAAGCCTAAACTAAATGAGGCCTATAATAGATACCATTACCAACAATATCAAGCAGCTGAACTAGAGAGCGTGCGAGAAAAGCCATCAAGGGATGAAGATCAAGCGAATATACCAGCTGGGCATGAATTGGATGGGCAAACAATAGACCGACTGGATGATTCACTCAAAGAATGGAGTCTTCAGGACGCGTTAAAAGGTGTTGCAGGTGTAGGATACAATGAACCATCCGTGAGGTAAGGCGGCAGTAGTAAGATGAAGTATGTATGCTTACAATGCCTGTAGTGATCATAGCCATGCCACATATAGACCTTATGGAACAACAGAATACCCCAGCCTATCTATTCATAATCAAAGTGACAAGTAAGTTATATAGGCAAGTTACCCACTACTGCTTTTAATACTAGCCATTAGCTTCAGTTATCAGGCACCACAGCCCAGCTACCGACCAATGTCCGTCCATTCCGTTCCGCCAACGCCACCTCCCAAGATACTGCCTCAACGTCAACAGCATCCCGCCATACCACCAAAGGTGCCGATCGCTTCTGAAAAAATAACACCAGCATTACCACCAAAGATAAAGCTCAATTCCGGACCAACCGTGGATGGTAAAGATTATAGATAAAGAGAAACAACAAATGCTAACTAACTGGTTATAGCTTCCTCAGAAAGAGGTGAACCCCTCCGTCGACTGATCTTACCAAAACGCTTACAGACTAGATTTTTATCAATCGCAGAACCCAACACTCGTAAAAAGATTGAAACGTGTGGAATACTCGCTGGAAAACTGGTAATGGTGTTATTTTCTTTTAAAGAACATGTATCAATATCATCTATGCATAGAAAAACAATGTCTTGAAAATCACTACATTGATTATACCAAAGCAGATAGGTACATCAGACACATGTACTACTGAGAATGAAGAAGAACTATTTGACGTTCAGGATAAATATGATCTTCTCACTTTTGGCTGGATTCATGTAAGCATAGATACATACTACACATGGAAGGATGTAGCTAATTTTACAAAAAAGACACATCCAACACAGTCTTGTTTTTTAAGTTCAGTTGATTTGCACACACATTGCTCTTATCAGCTTATGTTACCTGAAGCGATAGCCATTGTTTGTTCACCTTCCCAGGAACCAGAGTAAGAACTTATGATGATTGTTATCTAATGACTCGATCTTTACTGATTTCTGCTTCAGTTTTGGAATCTTTAGGTTAACTGATCCACCTGGACTAGATATCATCAGTAATTGCAAGAGACAGCCTGCCTTTCACCCTCATCCTGATTTGCCTATTTATACTGTAAGTTTATTAAATTCGGAAAGTGTGTAGACGAGTGTTAATATTGTTATAGAATGTTATGGATGATGGACATGTTAGAACACTGGATTATGACTTTGATATCCTAGATTTGCGGAAATAACTTTATCTATGAATAAAGACCTACAGCAATTGGATCTGCATATAATGTACTGTTAAAATACACTGCTTACTTTTATGAATTCTACGAGATGTTTAGAAAACATGAATCTCAAGTCTAGGACTAACGTCAAGCTCGCAACTATCTCTCTGATCAATACTACCATAGTTGTATGTCACAGTTTGGATAGGATATATTTTTATATAAAAGCGAGACATCTTTATTCATCAACTATAATCACATCTTTCCTTTTACAAGTGATAATACTAATGTCTTGGAATTGTCTCCCATTACAAATGATTCAATATGTTCTCTCATTGATTGATTAAAGTGTTAAAAGCGCTGGTATCTCTTTTTCGTTTATGTCGTAAACTACAAAGCTTACCACCGCGTATTAACAAGATCACAGACAGATGAAGATATGTAAGATTAAAACTGAGCCGTAAATTATGCACTCTAATTTTGATTTTATTGGACATAAAAGTAAAGCAAAAGAATTAACCCTTTTTTTTTTTAATTCAACTTGATGAACAAAGACAACACAGCACAAACTGCTGCTGTTCAAGTAGGCAAGTATTATAGAAACAACTCAAAAGCACCTTTTTAAACAATGCTTAAATAGCTGTTCGAATACGTCCTTTAACAGAAAGGGATCGAGCACAACCTAGATTTGCCAATTCAACCAATGGCGATGTTCTTCGTGCTCATGAGAAGCATGTACAAGTCGTTCCTCAAAACAAATACTTTACCTATGACCATGTCTTTGGAACAGAAACACAGCAAAGTGACATATTCACTGCGCTTGGACAGAAGCCAGTGTATAAGTTTATTGAAGGTACACGAGAACATTTTTATATTTTATCAACGAGCTCATGGTGATACTAGGATACAATGTGACAATTCTTGCCTATGTAATAATTTGATTCTAAATTTAACTAGCAAAAAAATAGTACTAAGCTTACCATGCCTTCTTTCTATTATCTTAGGGCCAAACATCATCTGGAAAGACGTATACTATGGGTACAGCACAACACGATCAACAGATAAATCCTAAAGAGGAAGGTATTATACCTCGAGCCATGTCTCTTTTATTTGATTCACTGTTACAGAAAAGTATGGATCAACCAGCTAATGGAATTCGCAGTCTTCGAGCACCTACACAGACGTCAGGGCAGAAATATAGATACTCCGTTAAAGTATCTTTTGTTGAAATATATAATGAAGAGCTCATTGATTTATTAAACCCAGCACCACCACATGAAAAGCCACCAGTGACAATTAGAGAGGATACAAAAGGACACATTTATTGGACAGGAGTTAAAGAAGTATCTGTAAACAACACAGATGATGTCTTATAGTAAAGATTTACTTGCAAAAAAAAAAAAAAAAAAGAAAACGCAACTGACACCTTCTGCATAGTTATTTACAACAAGGAACACAAAACCGAGCAACGGGGTTTACAGATATGAATGAAAAATCAAGTCGATCGCATGCTATTTTCTCGGTGACATTAAAGCAGGAAAAATGGGTTCCTGGAAATAGTCAGTCAGGCAGAGCTAGTCCTACACCATCAAGAGCTCAATCGCCCAAACAACAAAGACTCTCTATGATCAGCCGCTACTCAAGCAGTAATAGCAATAACAATAGTGCAGAAGATGGAGACTGGGTCATTACATCATCAAAGTTTCATTTTGTTGACTTGGCTGGTAGCGAAAGAGTAAAGAGAGAGAGAGAAAAAAGCATTTGGAGAGAGGTATTGACTCTTTTTATAGCTTAAACGGACAGCTGCCGAAGGAGACAGAAGAAAAGAAGGAATCAATATCAATGCAGGTTTATTAGCCTTGGGCAACGTCATTTCTGCATTGGGAGATCCTTCAAAGAAAGGCACGCATGTCCCTTATCGTGACTCAAAGCTGACTCGACTACTACAAGATTCACTTGGTGGAAACGCAATGACGCTCATGATTGCTTGTGTTAGCCCGGCTGAGTCAAATCTGGCAGAAACCTTGAATACACTTCAATACGCCAACAGAGCAAGAAACATCAAGAACAAGATGGAAAAGAATGAATTGGAAGAATGGATGACGACAGATAACATTGACTTTTTACGAAATACAATTGCAAAACTAAAGAACGAACTTCGTAAATCAAATAGTACTCAGACGACTCACACAATACCCACAAAAATGCAAATTCCTTCTGACAATAGGTTCCTGTCAGATTTTAGCGACGACTATTCGTCAACGAGTAGTCCACTTGCTAACGGTGATTATGATGACTTTTGTCATGAGCAAAACCTCCAGATTGCTGATTTACAGTATCAGATTGAAGACTTGAAAGCAAAAGCAGAGATTATGACCCAACGAAACGTCGTGGTCGAAGCAGAACTTGCTCGACTACAACAAGCCAAAAATGGTGATATTGATTTTCAAAAGACTGTAGAGCCGGTGATTGAAGAATACGAAAAGACTCTATCCGGATACGAATCTCAGTTAGCCATGATCCGTGCTGCGCTTAACCATGCAGAACATGCCTACGAAGAACAACTTGATAAAGCACAACAGGGTGAACTTATCATCGAAAAGCAGGATAAAACGATTGCTGAGCTGCGAAAACGATTGAGTAAATTGTTAGAGAGACAACAAAAGGACGAGAAATATATTGCAGAACTGGAAAAGAAATTGATGACTACTGTGCAAGAATCTGTGCAGGATAGGGAACTGATGATGGAGCTGAGAGGAAAGATTCTAAAGCTAAAGGAAGTTGATGAAAACACAGAGAATTATATTCGTGATCTGGAGACACGACTGAATACAAGTGAGGAAGAACGATCACAGCTCAAGACTAGACTTGAAGAGCTGCAAAAGAGTGCAAAAGAAGAATCACTCATTGCAAATGCCAATGAATCCTTATCTTTGCACAAGTCTGAAAGCTTGGATGAAAAGGATAAAGAACTAAAGTCCTTGCGCGAAAAATACGAAGCAAGTGAGAGACAGAAACTGGAGCTTCAAGCTAAACTTGATCAACTTCTTTCTGAAAGTACGATGGAATCTAAGAGTCCTCAAGAAGATGAACGCAGACAGATACGCAAATTAGAGATGGAGTTGGCAAATTTACAGCATGATCATCAAGAAACTTTGAAAGAATTTGACGAACTTTTATTAAGATACCAAGAGGCACTCGATCATGCTGATGCATTACAGTCTGTACATGGGGATAATGTAGACCTCAAACATAGCCCCACAGAGAATAAAGAAATACTCGTTTTACGGGACAAGGTCAAATATCTAGAACGCGAATTAACAGTAAAATCTAGACAAGATAATAATGAAGCCTCGACTGAAACTGAATCCGCTTCAAACAAACAAGAAACATCAGGTCTATTACAACAAGACGAATCTATCGTCCAGAACTTTAGTGAGCTTCAAAGACAGTTTGAACATTTAAAGATGGAAGCACAACTTCACTCTATCAATATTGCAAACCAACAAACAATTGAAGCTGACATATTCAACCAAGATATTACTATGGAGGAACTTTATGAAAAGTATGAGTTACAAATGGCCTCTTATAGACAAGAAATTAAAAACGCTGCAAGACTGTTGAAAGAAGTTAAAAAGATTAAAACCAGAGAGATGAGAAGCAGTATGCAACAGTTTAGTGCTAACGATGATGCATATACTAATAATGGTATACCAAGCATTAGCTTTGAGCATCGAGTGCTGCTAAGAAATATTACAAACTTGGAAAAGCAGATGAGTGAACAAAACGAAAAGTTGAAGACAGAAGCAAAGAAATTTTCAAGCGAAATTATGGAAATAATATTAAAAAAGGATTCTGCATCTAACGAGCATTCAAATATTCCAGCCTCTAGTACATCTTTGTCCAGCAGCACACCCTCAGCAGAAGACACTGTGCTATCAGAAGAAGATATTCCTGAAAAACAGACCAACCAAATCCTTGCTTTAAAACAACATGAAGAAGCTCGAAGTGCTCTACAGACTAGACTATTTATCGCAAAGCAAGACTTGATGTGCCATAAAAGCATTATATCAGTGTTGGAAAACAAGCTAAGGAACGTGGAGATCACAGTTGCGTTATACAAAAAGCGTACTGAAAACAATGTTCTGTCTGTGGATGATGTGGAAATGGAGGAGCTCATGTTAAAAATGGATGCTATGAAACTTCAGCTGGAAGGCAGTGAAAAGTTGGAATCAAAGTCAATATCAGATGTATAATTTTGTTTTACTATTCATAGTTATTTAATCCTATTGTTATTGTTATTGTATATCAAGAAATACCCTCATTTTACCCCCAATATTCAGCCTATATCTCACGTATTAGATATGCTTGTACATTAAAGTCTTAAACTAAATAAAATGATGATTCAATCAGAATGATATATTTTGTAACGTAATCTTTTATATGTTTGGGCGCTTGTCAGTAAAAGATAAATAGAGTTTTGTGAAGTCAAAACATGCGAATTGATTGTCAATCACTGCAAACTCTTAATGGCAAAGGGCGCTAAACGAATGGAAAAAAACCAGTAATCCCGTTTTCTTTCTGTTGTCATTACCTCCTGAAGCTTGCTTTTACCTTCTTCTAAATCTTTGTGACTATCCCATTATAGCAAACACTTAGTGCACTCAAAAATGTACTCAAAAATAGGCTAATGCTACGGCGCTTCTTCTAGGCACTACATGTGACATCACTTTACAACTTCACACTATCAAAGTCTCTGCCTAACCTAAGGCTGCTCAGTTCACTCTCTCTGATATAAAATACGAATTTTTCATAATTGCAAGTGAGCTAAGTGGTCTTTATTGATAGAACTGACAACGTAAAACTAGAATAAAAAATAATAACATTTCTTTTTTATCTCTTTCTTCTTGAAAAGAGACAATTCAAGATGGTAGCTTTATAAATACATGTTTAACTTGACGCTACACGTCGAATAGTTTTGTTAGACGACATCATAGGTAGTGAGTAGAGGTAGCACCTGTAGTATTAGTCTAGCTTCTGGTGAATGTAGTGTTTTTCTTTTTGAAAAGATACTACATCGCGTTCCTTTGGTTCATATACATCATAACATAATGACAGAAAATCATTTTCAAAGTTTGTTTGACGAAATAAAAAGGAAGAAGCTTTATTTGGAAGGTAAAGCGCTTTATCTTCATGAATGTTTGATTGCATACGTTTTATTTTTATTTTTATTTATTATTTGTATAGATTTTTGAACCTCTGAACCACGTAATTGGACAATGACGACCTATTTGTCCAAATTAATTTCTGAAGACCCTGCAGTCACTAGATGTAGCGCGTCCAATAGACTCATTAATGACGCGACGATAATCAAAAAACATGTGATAGCAGGCACAATCGCCGAGACAATGGCAAGTACGATGGCATGCTATTCATAGGTCAGTACGCTTTATTTTCTCAGGCCATTATGATTATTATTGTCGTTAACTAGTCTCTACGAAACCCAAGAGGAAAAAACATTTAATGCGTTTTTGTCATCCATGCCGGCCAAATGGCTCAAAGGGCACTGAAATATGGTGTTCAAAAGGTAATACTGATAAGGTAAATGAACTACGAGTCCCAAAATTGAGATATAAACAGATGTAATTAGTAAAGCAGTCAATGATATGAAATAATTTCACTTACAAAATATTTGTTGTTGTTAAGCAATCAGTACAGGTTAATAAGTTATCAAAGAAGACTCACATTTCAAGAAGTATTACTGTCATCAATAACAGGCTAATCTTCGTTTGCACTAAAGAAAGAAGCGGCAATCATTTTAAATTTATCAGTGTTGGATTGACTGACTTGCGGATCAAACTGAGGAAAGATTGCATCAAAAAGGAGTGTTACTAGACCTGACAGGCTTATTGCCATTGCGATCACAATGCTCTGTCTTTTCACTGCTTTTTTTACTTGGATAGAGACACAACTTGGGTTGTCACAAACAAATGCTAAAATTGGATATTGTTGAGGAATTCCAGTCATCTTCTTCAAGCCAGAATGAAGTGCAGCCAAGGAGTAAAGATCTTCAATATGCCCTAATATGGACATAACACTTGACTTGGTGTATGGTAATACGATTGCAACTAATTTAACAAAGACTAGCATACATGGTTTTCTTGTTATGAAGTAAAAAGTGGTTGACATGCCTAAGAAAATGTCAAATGAGTTAATACTGTCTATATCTCTTTCCAACGTCCATCTCACCAGTTGTTTGAAAGCAGATCACACCATTTAAGTGGTTGGCATTCATTTCTGCTTTCGCAAATAAGGCTAATCGATAAAAATCATTGATTTGGCATGTGTCGTTGTCTTTTGAAGCTTGATTTCACAGAAACAAAATGTCGAAACGTATTGATAACACTCGTATTTATGCACGGAATAATCTGGACGCTTTCTTGCATAATCAGGCATTGGTAGGACATTGGCACTTGTTATAAAAAATAAATAAATCCGTTGTTACCCTAAGCGGATTGATTTCACTGTTACCATTGTGCAAAATGAGATGGATTATCAGCAAACAGGTGCTGGATCAAGGGATGGATGTAGGCTCATGTGAGGTGACTTTCTGATGACAAACAGGGAAGATCTAAATCCTTGAGAGTAGGCATTCTTTCAAAAGAATCATCAGTATAAGCATGTCACAAAATACAACGATATACAAACTCCCCGACATCAAAGGAAGACTTACGATGCTTCAATTGCCAGTAAGATATTTCGTTCAGGCACAAGTTTCGATTTTGCCAGTTGAAGGAGGTCAACGCGCGAGTCGATTGTGTCTTTGGTGTTATCACAGTATTCCTAAAGAGATGGTTGTAGATGAGAATGTTGATTGGAATAACTATTACATATCATACGTTGAGTATAGTCTTGACCTTTTTGTAATTCGTGGCCACAAAGAATTGCTGAAAACCAATTCCATCCATCAAGCTTGTCCTTATGTCTTGCTACTGCTGTAGACTCAAAACCTTTGATAGAATATTGTCATATAAGCTACGCCTCTGAACGAAAAAAATGGATGACATAGCCCTAATAGAAATAAAATAAATAACAGGCACAATACACAAAAAATTTGATTATACAGAAGCTGACAAAAGAAGGCAACACTTGATGCACTCAAAAATAAACCAATACCACGGACACTACATCTACTCACTATCTATGATGCCTTCCAACAAAACTTTTCAATCTGTCGTGTCAAACTAAACATGACTTTTATAATATCGTCATATTGGTTTGTTTCTTTTCAGGAAGAGGAAGAAATAAAAAGAAGTGTTGTTATTTCTTTATTTATTCTAGTTTTATGCTGCCAGTCTATCAACAAAGAACCAAGATCAATCACGTGTAATTATGATAAATTCAAATTTCATATCAGAGTGAAAATAAAGCGCGGCTCTGAGAGCATTTACCGCATTTTCAGCCTTCGCTTCGGTAACATTTTAATTTATTTTGCGGAGTGATTTTTTACTTTGAGGAGAGTCTTTTTTATTATTCGCAAAGTAAACAAACACAGTTCACAAACTTGAAGGAAAAAAACAAATCTGAATTACCAAATATAGAATAAAAAATTGGAACTTAAAATATGGTCGCATGGTTTTGTTTACTTTTGCCATGGATAGCAAATCACATTAGAGTTTACTATTTTAAGAGCTTTTACAAGGACAAACATTAGAAATAACCCTTTTCTTTCAATCACTCTGTAACTTCAAACATTTCTTAATATATCCTTTTTTGGATCACTTTAAGCAGCCCTATTATATCAGGGCATATTACTTTTGGCCACCCTGTCCCAAAGAGAAGAATTTGGTGTACTTCAGAAAACCTAACGTTATTAGGTGCTCTTCAGTTGCTTATATGAAATAAGACGTTGACGGCGTATTCTGCATGATAGTACCCTGCTTATTCAGCACGTTATTTCTATATCCGTCCTCGTGGGGCTAAAGTTAAAGTAAAATAGAAACTTTTAAGAATAGCGAAAGGTAGGAAAATATGCTTGCATAGAAAATATACAAATATGTTGAACTAACTTTAATGAAGAAAGGAAGAGGACAGCACACAGCCCTTAAAGTGTATCCTTTATAACAGCTTTGTGTAACATAGCCCGTTTCATAAGATGCGCGGTTAACTAGATCCGTATACCAAACATTAAACATTTGTGCATGTGAGTAAGCATTGAAACACGTATCAAGATTTGCGTCTCCACATAATTTACCAGAAAAAGGGATCAATAAAGCAAGTTAGTGCTTACCAGGTAAACTTTCAAACCTTTTATTGCGCAGTAAAGAAAAAAAATGAAGGGGGAAGCAGCGCTGTGCTATGAATCTGACTATATGGCTGTACAGGTATCACAGCGCCAAATCAGCTGCTGATCATTTTAGGATTCCTTGTTTTTTCTCTGTTGCACAGGATTGATAATAGGTTAAAGTAACCCTTTTTCTTTTATGATGTACAGAATATGTTGCTTTTGCTTTCATAATTTGCAACATCTTTTACTTACTTTGGTGACAAGTGTTAAAAAAAGGGGAGTGTGCATAAACAATACAAGTTAGATATTATTAATCTCTGTATTAATAGATACATATACACATTGCCCTATGTCTTACAAGCATTAATAAAGGGTTTTTAATAGAACTCAATATGTTCTTTTGCGATACAACTACACGTTTTTTAATTCTATCTGGACGTCAGTGTGCTACAGCGTTGATGTAAAACATGAAAATAGGACAAAAGAGTGATAAAGAAAGCAATCTTCAAGAAAATAGGTTACATGTTTCATCTTTTGTTAGAGCATAAAACGTGGCGTATATACACATATGCAGCATTGCGTCTTCTGTATTTTGACGGCTATAAACAAAGATATTATACAGGTTTGTTTATTAAGATAATTCATATTTTTCTCTCTTTTTTTTTTTTCATTTATACAGCTGGATTACGCAAATATAAAATAAGAAAAGCAAGAAACTATAAAAACTACAGGAAACAAACACAGAAATATGAAAAAACATAGTATATAAATGCATGCGTGCAATCGATGATAATAATTAAGTATACAATGGCATAAGTAAACGGCGCTTAGGTGTGAAGCATGTAAGTTGTTGATCTATGTTGAATTGCTTGTTTTTTTTTTTTTTTCTTTTTTTCTTTCTTTCTAAAAGTAATCTGAAGGTTATATCTGTTGAATAGTAAAAAAGGCATCCTAAAGTACAAGATTAATATATCAATACGCATTCTGATTATTCAATGTTATATCGCATTACCTTTGCCATATTTTCAGCAATATTGCTTCTATTATTGTTATCGATTGGCAAAGGGATCGTTATCCGTATATTTACCATCAGATTGACGCGTTGCTTCTTGTTCTATCATGTATGTATCAATACTACTGCTTCGCGATCTCTCGCTCGGATAGTTGATAAAGTAGCTTGAACTTCTGCTAGCTGTACTATGGCTTGCTTCGGGCATTTGTCTTGCTTGCTGGCTTTCGGATTCAAGTAAAGGTTGTAGGATACGTCGACGCGCATTAATAAACCAATTACTTATTTGGTTCACTCCGAGACCTGTTTCATCCGCAAGCTCTTGTTTTTCCCTTTCGGTTGGATACGGATGCCGTTTATGCAAAATCAACCATCGTTTCAGAAACTCGGTTACTTCCTTTGGCAAGTTTCCTCTTCTTTTTTTACGGCACAAATGGGGTTTATGAACGTGATAGAACTGGGGTTCAGAGATAAATTTTGTAGAAATTGGTTTAGGTTGTCTGCTCTCAAACTGTTCTCTGTTGATATTATTGTTTTCTTCACGAATAGGGAGGTCGGGAATAGTTCCTTCTCTGTCTGTGCCTATAAAGTATAATGGAGGTGGTGTTTCAGTTCTCGTTCTTGGTTCTAATGCGTCAATTATGGATTGATCTTCTTGTTTATTGTCAATAGAAGGCGACGTAGGTGCAAGGTAACTGAACGCTGAGTCGGTATAGTAATTGACTCTCTTATTAGCAGCTGATATACAGTCCATGTGCTCGTCTATTGATTCAACAAGAGAACGATAACAAAAAGGATGAATAAACAATGACGGACTATTTCAATTCCTTTTTTGTACAATTATTTTTCTCTGTACCTGCTGCGTTTGCCTTTGAAAACGTATCATAAAAGTATGCGCCCTCGTTCATCCAAATGCGTGTATTATGTTCAAGAAATCGTTCTACTTTTAACCAATGTGATTCTATCGCTTCCTTTCGACTACTAGCATTGGGTTCGCTCAACGTTTCGTTATTGTTGAATAGTACAAATGGCTTAAATACTTTATTCTGCACAAGGTTCACCCTAAGAGTTAGTAAGATAATGCTTTTCAATTAAGTCATCGTCAACACTCATTGATGCACACAGATGTACTGTTTATCTTTTATTTTCTCGGTACTTATGTGCATCATTGTGTTTTATTATTATTACTTTAACTCTTACTTTTTTATCCATGTTATATGTATCAGAGGCTATCTCTTGAGATTAAACACACTAAAAGAAGAGCAAATAAGGTAAAGTATAAGATAAAAGAGAGAAAAGAAGAAGAAGGACTATTGACAAGAGGTAATTAATGTGAATAAAAAGCAGAAAGAAAAGGAAAAATAAAAAATAGAGAGAGAAAAAAAAAGGGAATTTGATTTAACTCTAATAATATCCAACAGCAAGTAAGTGCTGCAAAGAGGAGCACGCCTTCACATAATGAGAGAAAGAGGGAAAAAGATCATTTTGTTGTCTTGTTCACAACTTTTTTTTTTAGCATCTCTAGTCTTTTGGGAAATATACGTACCCACATTTACTCTGTATATTCGCATACTCGTCATTGGTTTGGGTCCTTACATTATTCTTTTTCGATAAGGTGACTTTGAGAATTATGTAAGAATTACACTGCTCTACGACACTAGTGAGAAAGGTCATGAGTTGCAGTAACAATGCACAAGGACAATATAAAATGAAAAAAGGATCAAAATTATATTAAAAGCCGCCTCAATTACTACATTTTGCTATTCTACAACTGATTGAAGTGTGTTTTCATACTGCAAACGACAAACCAGGTCCTGTCTTGCTATCAGCACGTTATACAAACTCAGAGAGGTTTACTGACTTAAATATAAAGACGTCATAACAGCAGCCAAGAGAGAGAGAAAAGCTTCAAGTGTATATACAAATATATACATGTAACAGACTTCATCTGCTTCATTGCCTAGCAGCTCGTGGCACCCAAATATCAGGCCATATTGATACAGTAATAAAGAGCAATTTATTATTGTTTCCTCACCACGCATATTTATTATGCTATTGTATGTGTTTATTACAAGACCTAGGTCCCTTTCCTCCTTAAAGGAGAAGCATATTATTCAAGAGTCAGATCAATCATGCATATACTATGAGCCTGGGTGATACTCTATTGTATCTCATGTAATGTGCACAGACCATCCAGTTAGCTATTACTTTCTGTTGTCAGTTCTGTGGATACACTTGATCATTCTTTTTGTGTTTGTGTGCAAGTGAAAAAATAGGAGAAAAAAAGGAAGAAACATATCTGATACGCAAATCCCAGATTAATCACGTTCTTGAACATTCTATAAGGTAAGTATCTGAAACTGATAATGAATTCTTTTTATTCCATGGCCAACTTTCTTTCTTTGAAGTTGTATACTGTTCCTATTAACCTCAAGAGCTAATGAAAAGGCTGAATCAGAGTTCAATCCTTTAGATCTCCTTTCTTTCTACTTTTTCATGTATAAACACTTTGTTTGATCATAAAACCAATATTACTCATGCCTATTCTTTGCTTTATAATAGAAGGGGGTGATGTTAAAACATTACCTTTTTTTTTTTTCAACCCGCTTTTTATTTTGTGTGTTATAAGATACTTTTTTTTGTGCCCCGTACCTTTTTCTTTTTGCGCAGAACGAAGAAACTCATGCTTCATTGTGCGGTGATTAAATTATCAATGTGCATTTTGCTCGAGTTGGTCATTTTCAGCTTTATCTGTCAATCTACGTGCATCTGTTTCATTCATTTGGAAAAATCGTCCTTCTTTTGATAATTTACGATCACAGTCCGGCCGCTTTGATTCAATATAAAAAGTAGTAAAGTTTCCTCTTTCTTGCTGTTATTCAGCTTTAGATTTGAAATGGTCAATTAGGTCCATGGCTTGCGTGAATTAGACTATTAAAAAAAAAAGCTGAATATTACAAGTTTATAGTGAAGATTTAATGTAGAATGTATGCTGTACAACAAGATTATAAAGTATTATAATAATTCATAACAACTTGTCACTTCTTTCATGTTCACGACGATCATTACTGTTATCAATGAAAAGCTTGGGCTTAGTCATGATCAAAACATCAAAGAGAAGCCAAACATAACTACAAAAGGGGCACTAAGAAGCCAAAGTGTTCTATTCAAGTCCAGAACTTCTTTCAGCGATACCGAGCAGGAACAGCTGTTGATTTTGTTCCAAGAGTGATATGCTACTAGTAAACACTCTGCGTACTTGATACTTTTAAAAATATTGAGAAACAAACAGATTCATTAAACATAACTTTTATTAAGTATGAAATCTAGTTTGATGTGATTATATCAAGATTTTACTAATTTTCCTGTCTCCGGCTATTTTAGCCATCTTTCTCATTGCACCTTTCATGTTGGATAGACCAGACTTGTGCTGGTGGTGATGATTATGGCTAGGTTGTTGTTGTTGTTGTTGCTGTACATAATGAATGTGATGCTGATGTCGATGCATGTTTATATTTTCTGAATCAGTGACGTTACTTTCATTAATGACCGTGTCTTCACTGATGGCACTATCTTCCAATAGATCCACCCTTGAGCGGTATCTTCTTATATTCAATTTCAAATTAGAAAGAGAGCTATTTAGCTTTCTCAAAGGATTTGCTTTATCCTCTATATTATTAGATGTAAGCTGATCTGTGCGAGTTTGGAGCTGAAGAAACTGATTGAATGCTTCATGAATTTGATGCTCTGCATAGCATGCCTTGGTTTTGTTAAACAAGAAAGATGCTTCAAAAGGATCTTCAGGTACCACGGCCGGTGCCTTTACGGCCTCGTTCAATATACGATACAGCGAAGACGATACCCTCATATCTTTGTCAGTTGCCCTAAGTGAATCTGGAGAGACAAAGATAGATATCCAAGGCTTTTCTGGAGGTTCTGGTACGATATCATAGTCATTATCCATCATGCTCTGAATACCATCAGCATTTTCAACCCAATCAGACGAATTTCTGTTTATCTTGGCAATGATACGACTGTAGCACTTTGCCCTTGCTCTTGTTCCCTCCGTCTTACACAGTGGTTGATATTCCATATAATTAACGCTCGAATAAACAGAGGACATGTCATAACCTGAATCCGTTCGAGAGTATGACAATCCCGATTGCGCACTTTTACGGCTTGTGATTTTAGCATGTTCAATGATCAAACGAGTTAAAAAGTGCCCCGACTTTTCTTCCATTATTTGACTGCAATCACTTGGCCCTAGTACCACTTTACCTAACGAGTCACCTAATTTGTAAGCGTCCATAAGATTGACATGTTTATGTTGTAATAATTCGACGAGAAAGTCTAGAATTTCAATCAAGAGTTGTTGACTTTTGTTAGGGATAATAGAAGATAGATTGGATAATGTACAAGCTATATATTTTAAGGGGGAGGGAAAATTGATAAATAAGACGAGCTAATCCCAACATATGATTATAGTTACTCTCGTAATTGATCTTTCTCCAAGCTTTTTTTGAAATGATTCTGTCCGGTGTAGACCAAAGCGCTACCTGCATCAAAGTAGCCACGGAGTGAATGTCGACATAGGATAGGTCGTTGGCAGTAAAGTCTCGCTTATTGAATATCTTGATAAACAGTCCATAGTTTGGCACTATCAGAGAGGATATTGGAGATTGTTATATCTTTACAGTCAACTAAATTACCTGTTTTACGAAATATTTTACGCTCTTGAAAGCCTATACATATTGTTTATATAATCAACTCTAGAACTTACTGCATTCTTACCTCTTTGACGTATTTCTTCAATACACAATCGTGTTACTTTTGCAATAAAATCAAAAGAGTAATACATGATGAAAAGCTGCAAGAATTAAAAAGAAAGTGAAAAGAAGAAAGAAAGAGAACTGGCTTTTTATTTATTCGCTTAATACATTTGCACTTCTTTTATTCATCGCGGCCCCCTTGTGATAATAGGAGAATATAAACAAAAAAAGATGGGTCACCTAACCTTAATACGCCTTCAAAGACATACGTTATAAAGGGTCAAATTTGACATGGCCCATGTTGTATTACCCTTCTTCTGCAATAATAGTCTAAGGATACTTACCATGATCTAAGTTGAGGGCCCACGCATTTATATAAACCATGATACTTTATTCATGCACTTGTTTCCCTTTACATGCAGAGAAAAAGTCAGGGAGCGTCCTTTTTCAAAATACGAAAATAAAGTACCAATAAGATTTCTCTTGAATGCACATTATCTTTATATTCTTTAGCATAAAATGAAATTAAGGGATAAACAAGCTCAATCAGTACTTTTATATCACACACGTATCGTGTAGTCAAGACTACCTTTACGTACTACAGTTCTACTTTTATATTTCTTAAAGTAGGGGAAGACTTTCAGTATGATGTAGTATGCTCTCTGAAAGAATTAGCAAGAGCAGACTAGAGAAAAGATGAACATGCTTTTTTGTACGAATAACCAAGCAATTACGCATAATAGACTGAAGACTCTTTTTCAGACAGATGGAACTAGTTTATCAAACATAAGTTCGTCACTTTTGAATTCATCTCATTTAATGAACTTACTGTAATCCCCCTCTCTCTCTTCTCTCTTTGAATGCATTCCTGTTGTATTGAGTTCTTCACTTGATACAGACTTCTGTCGGACATTAAAAGAAAGTAAAAGTAACGCGCTGTAACTTTTTTTCAAGTCTTTCCAATACAAAAAAGATACATATAAAGATGTCAAATATTAGAATGGTTAGAAATAAACGTTAATAAATACTTTCTTTCCCACTTATGACAGCTCCCATAGCTAAACGAGAAGGAAGAGGCAGATGGTGATGTTGAAGTGACTTGGATTGATCAGGAACGCATCAATGAATTCAGTAAATATAATGCCAAAATCGACGACCTCGAAGAGGAATATGAAAAACTCAAGGTAAACAAAGTAAACTGACTTGTATAAAAATATTAAAGGGTTGCTTTTAGAAAGAGAAAGAGTATTTGGATGACGTTGCCATGGAACTGGAATTAGCTGATGAAGATGAGCCTGTCCGATACAAAATTGGTGATGCCTTTGTTCACATTAGTGTTTCTGAAGCAACTGAGAAAATCGAAAAAGATTCAGAAAGACTTGATTTATTAATAGAAGAAACAAAACAGAACATAGACAACATACAAGAAAAGATGGACGAACTTAAGAAATCGTTGTATGCTAAATTTGGAAATGCAATCAATCTTGAGAAAGATTAAGTTTTTATTGAATAAATAAAAAAAAGCGCTTATTGTTTTTCACCCAACTTCTTTTCAAGTTTATCAAATTCTTGAAGGGCAACTGATTCATTTTCATCAATGACTTGTTCTACACCCTGAACTTCTGGGATATAATGCATCAACATGTTTTCAATACCATTCTTTAATGTCACAACTGCACTATCACAGCCTCTGCAGCTACCTTTCAGCTTGAGCTTCACAATGCCATTTTCAAAGCCACAGTATTCGATATCACCACCATCTTCTTGAATAGAAGGTCGAATACGTGTATCAAGTAACTCTTTAATCATTTGAACCTCTTCTGGATCGTCAGGATGAATGGTTGTATCACTTGCTGCCAAATCCCCTTCATCGAATACAATGGGTTGTCCTGAGGTAAAGTGGTTCATGATGGCAGAATAAATATCAGGTTTCATCAATTGCCATTCTGCAGTAGATTCCTTTGAGATAGTGATAAAGTCAGGTCCAAAGAAGACACCTGCAACACCTTCAATTTGGAAGAGTTGCTTTGCAAGTGGAGATTTCATTGAAGATCGAACGTCAAGGAATTCTGCTGTACCATTACCTAGCACAGGTGTGCCAGGAATAAATTTTAAGGAATCGTCATTGGGGGTTTGCTCAGTTTGGATAAACATGTTGCGCACTATAAACACAGGATGAATAAAGTGAAATGACAACAGTAATGATAATAATCTAACCTTGTTGACGTGCTAAAAGAGAAGGCATATACTGCGCATTAAAGCGAGTAGCCCATAAGTTGTGGCTCTTTGTCATTAAATTTCTTTGGACATAGCTTCTTAGCTGTGGGATTGCCCTTGAGCATGTAGATCTTTTTAGGCCTGTCAAAATAATTCGTGAATTCATTAGTAATAAAAAAGATAATTCCAGCAAGGGCGGTCGATAAAAAAAAAAAGGGAGGCACTACGCACACCCAAAATATAGGTTTTATTATTTGCACAGCACATGCCCAATTCTAATTGGACATGATAAATCCATGCAATAATCCTGAATGTGTCTTATATGTAGCTTATATCGTATAGTATTTGCATTAAAACATTTATGATTCAAGGTTGACAGTAAGCTGCACTGAGGCATGTAGAGGGCCAATGAATACAATAAGATATGATGAAGCTTCACAATGACATAACAATAGAACTGGAATAGAAATTTACCGCTTATTACATTAAAAGTTTAAATAAGGTTCTTCGGAATAAATCCTCTCCTTTTTGTGCTTAAGCTCTTGGTCTCAGATCGACAATTGGTCAGGTACAAATCCAAATGCTGTCTAAAAGAAGAATTCTAAGAAGTCATCTATGATCAAAGAATGGTATTTTGTAAATAGCAAAACCCTGCTTTTTCTTATATACACACACAAACGCTATGAACACCCCGCTTTGTGAATGGTTGATTGGAGCTTATGTTCGCATGAGAGTTGAACGAGAAATGAAGGAATGTCTTGGCTTGCACAAGCAAGAATTATGCAACGGTGTACATCCAAAATACTTTCTTTTAAAGTGAATGCTAAAGTAACCTGAAATTTGTAGATAAAATGTGTATTACACGGATTTTGTAAGAATCCATCACAACAGAAAGACAATAACAGCAATGAACATTTATGAACCTTTACAGAAAATAAATGTGTTTCTGCCACTATACCTCTTCATTCTTTTGGATGACCACCGTATCAAATACACTAAAATGTACAATAGCAGAAACTGTTTGTTTCTGACGAGCCAAAGTAATGCTGAGAGTGCGGCGAGAAGGATTAAGCTTGGTTAGGTATGGTTAGGTATGTAGTGATAATGACTCGAAAAAAAAAGACAAAAGTAGTACTCATTGGATGACTGGTAAGACCATTTTGTTCTTTGCATAGTGATCATGCATCTACTTTTCTGAATAATACAATGTTTAATTGGTCAAGAAAAATCTTAATCAAAGTCTCAGTAAGATGTTTGTGTAGAATAAACCTATGATCAGACATACCAATGTTAAAATTCTTGTGCTATTTCACTGTGATGTGGTCACTGCCTAGGAAAATCATACGAGATGTATGAAAAAATGTAGGTATCAACAGAGCTGCCACAGCAAAAAGTAAAAAGTCTATCATCACACAGATGGGAGCCCTTGTCACAATTTAGGATAGTTACCAAACCTCCAAAGCATCCTTTCAGGGCCACATTATGATATGGTTCGTAAATCTCTCGTCATTTGATGATGCTTTATCGCTTTTCAAAACCCAGCCATAGATAGATGAGGCATCTTGATGAGATTGACTTATTACTCATCCAATAGTATGTTTTCTACAAACGTGAATAATGTTCACAAAGGTATGCCAAGGAAGACAAGTCCGCAAACGTTTCCTTGCTTGCACATAAATACAATCAAGGCTGCATTGTGTAAAGAGAAAACTGTATGGTGCGCTCTGAGCGATAAGGTTTAAGACGTAAAATGGCGCAATGCGGAGCACTGTCTTACTTAAAAAGAAAGTCAATTCTGACATGCGCTTTCTTTCTTTATGACAGAAAAAAAGGACAAGAATTTAGTAGAGATCGTTCGACATTTCACTCCATCATGGTTTAGCGTTACCATGGGAACAGGCATAGTTGCCATTCTGTTGCAGACATTTCCTTTTCAATTTTCTGGACTGCAAACGATTGCACTTGTTTTGTTTCTGTTCAACGTCGTCATTTACAGCGTCTTTACAATCATTACCGTACTTCGCTATGTACTGTTTCCTACAATATTCTTTCTCATGCTTCAGCATCCAGCACAGAGCATGTTTGTTGGCACGATTCCTATGGGATTAACAACTATAACAAACTTTATTACGATTGCGCTCACCGACAAATATGCCTGGGCTCTGAACCTCGCTTTCACTCTCTGGTGTATCGAATTTGCCTTGACGCTTGTTAGTTGCTTTTTAGTGCCCTTTTATTTTATAGTGCACCACACACATGCCTTGGAAACAATGAACGGCACTTGGTTACTCCCTATTGTACCTGCTGTTGTCACTGCAGCATCAGGAGGGTTGTTATGTCACTATTTGGATGAGCAGAGAGGCTTAATCATTCTCATTGTGTCGTATGTAACCATGGGCATAGGCATCTTATTAGCACTCTCGATCATCGTCATTTATTTTTATAGACTTGCTGTCCACAAGCTTCCTCCCAAGGAGGTTATTATTAGCTCTTTGCTGCCTTTAGGTCCGCTTGGCCAGGGAGCATACGGCATGATTCAGCTAGGATCTGGCGCACAAAAGTTATTAGGAGATCGTTACATTCCTGGATTAGGTAATGTCGCGTACAGTCTAGGCTTTATCCTTGCACTCTTTCTTTGGGGCTATGGTTTATGGTACCTGGTTGTGGCTATTTTCTCTGTCGGTATTACAGTCAAACACAAGATCCCATTCAACATGGGTTGGTGGGGACTCACTTTCCCGTTGGGCGTCTATACAGCAGCAACATTGGCTATTGGCAAGGTACTCGATTCCATGTTTTTCAATGTCCTAGCTGCTATCTTTACTTGCTGTCTAGTCACGCTTTGGTTAGTAGTTACGATCAAGACGATTGTTGGAGCAATCACTGGTAAACTGTTTTATGCTCCATGCCTTTCATTAGCACAGTGATATATTGTAGAAATAGATTTATTAAGAAATATAATATAGAATGTAGTAAAATAATACATAAATAGTGTACATTTTTTTATATCACAATACTCTCCGTGTCATCTAAGCTCCGTAACTTGTTCTGTTCTTCTTCGCCAAACGTACCACCACTTGCCATCTTTTTACCATTGTTTTGTTTAGGGGATAATGCGAGAGATACTGAATTATCATACCAGGACTTAATGGCATCAAGCAATGCCATGATTTTGATTTCATGACCGTTAAGTATATCTATTGATTCATAATTAGTATTAATTTATAACAGCAAAGGAAGGCTGTATTACCTCTGAATGTATATCCCCCGTCGAGATCAATGCCCTCCTGATGCATAAATTCAAAAGCAGTAATCATTCGATCCATCATTTGAGAGTAAACAGACTGATTAAGGTTAACAGGACATCGTCTGATCTCCTTACCGCCTAAATTTTCCAGCAATTCTAGCAGAATCTCGCCTGTCGATAGCTCTGTCAAATCACGAATGGGATCATGCACATGTATATTGATCCAGTCAATATATTCCTTCCTTTTCATCAGTAACTCACGCTGGTTCTCTGGAGTAGGTTGATAGTGCCTTGACGAAGGTAGATCTTCCACTGCCAGATGATTATGTCGACTTGATTCAATGACACTCATGTTTTCAGGGTCAATCAAATCCTCGTCTTCCTCATCTGGATAAAATGACACGCTGGGCGCGATAGACGACGCGTTGTGGATGGGCGAAACCATTTTCCTTGCTGTTGTTGTAGAGCTGCTACTACTACTCTGCGTCGTGCTTGGACTGATCATCATAACGCCACTTGTACTCGTAAATCCAGAATCCTTTAGTTTTGTGCGGTGATCAAAGGAATACTCAGACACGTTATCCATCGGCACGCCTCGCAATCTTGGACTCATCATGGATGGTGTGCGGCTGCCTGTTGTGCTTGATAGCGGTGATGAAAATGATTGTTGAAAGTTGAGTTCTTCTGGATGTTCTTCCATAGGTGCCAATCCAGTGTTGCTAGTAATACTGTTGTGTCGGTAGGATGAAGAGGGACTTTTTTGTTGCTGTGGATGAAATATGGTTGATGGGGGGCGAGGACGCATTCGACGAGCAGTTTCCAAGGAGACAGTCGGAATCGTACTAGAAGACATAACGGGAGTTCCGTAGTCTCTTTCAATAGTTGCCTTCATCAGCGCTTTCAACCATTCCTTCATGTATCTTTCTTGATCTGTGTAAAAATAAAATGTCCTTTCTTTTTCATGCTGTGCCTTGAAGCAGTATTTTCCTGGTTGAATTGAGCTATCTACTTCAATCTTGTATCCTTTTAAATTGATAATGCCTTTCATTCTGATTGCCTTTAAAGGGAAAAGTCAGGACGTCTTCTTTTGTTTGCTGTATATGTTTTACCTTTGGGCTTTTGAAATAGAATAGATTGTTTGCTTTAAGTACAAACCATCGCTTATTCCAATTCTTGTACTTGTCACCTTGCTTATATAACCAGCCTTCCATATCAGGTATTAAAGAGAGCTCAGGCGCCATTGGCACGTCCTCCGAACGTCGTACCATGTTCGAGGACGGCAGGATAGACTGTAACTTGTTTGTAGAAGGGAGTAATGATGATCTCATAAAGTTGTATTTGCTATTACTCTGTTTAGTCAGGTGAGAAAAAGCACATGGGTCAGTCATATAACCACGGTGTCAAGATGTTTACCTCTTGCATATTGTTGCTACTGAATGTAGCATTCAACGTATGTCTTCGTCCAAGTTCTTGCATACTATGATCTTGTCTGTAAACACTACTGGTGTGGCTTATTTGACTTGAATTTCTAGATAAGTTATTATTCTGAGATACGGTCCTTTGAGAGGATGACATAGCTGAATCTATAGAGGGTCTTTTACTATTGTTGATAGAATTCACTAGTTGTGAGTTTCGAATGACTGTGCTGTAATCAGAAACCAAATCATCGTCAGGATATGGATGTCTAGTGTGATTATTATTGTAATATGGTTTTTCAGGTAATGGTGAGTTTAGTCGGGAATCAGTTGAAGGAGTGTACTGCAGATGATGAATGTGAATACGAAATCAAAGTGTTTAAAAAAATACATTACTTTTATAGTTTTCATTTCTTTCTTTAAGGCCGTGATTGCACCATGTATCTTGAATCGTTTTCCAAACGTATCAATCTGTAACTCTTTTAGGGAATCCAGAGTCAATTCTAATAAGATGTCTCCTGTGATTTCCTGTTCTTTGAATGTATCGGCAAGTCTCTTGTCAAAACCAACGTCGATTAACCACAGAGCAACTTGATCGGATGACCACTCTTCAATAGGCTTCATTCTTAATGCTGGGTTGTTTAATGATTGCTTGACAATGGACTGTATATTCTTCGAGGACATGCTCAAATGACTACTGCTTATCCTTAATTTGGCCATCCCTTCCTCTATATTTTCTCTTGGTGGCGTTGAAGATGTGTATGTAATAGGAAATAAACCGATCTCCCCCTTTTCGTTGCGGCCCTGTTTATATATATATATTAATGTCAAGTACAAGATTATACTCTAATATCCAGTACCTTCCACCAACCGTCATTGTATCCTTCGTCTTTTTCGAACACAACCACTTTCTCTCCTACGTCAAGTGAGATCTCGTCGACATTTTCTGCTACAAACTTGTGCACAGTATAAACTACTTCCATAAGACAACAAAAAGGGAGAATGGCAACAAGTTACAGAAGGAAGAAGAAGAAAAAAAAAACAAAAGGAAAAAATAAACAAATAAGAAATAAATCAAAGGTTACATTTTTATATGATTTGGTAAGTCTCATTTTCCAATGTAAAAGATAGACCAGAGTGTGTAACATTGGTAGAAATGAAATGGACAAGCCATTATGCTGCATTTAGTAAATTTAATTTAAATAATACATGACAATAAACGAGGTTCTCTCCCTCTATTCATTTTGCTTGTTGTCCCTCCTTCCTTTACTTTTTTTTTTTTTTCTTTTCTTTACAACCTAAAGCGGGGAATCAATTTCTTATTTTGCCTTTCTCTTCCCTTTTTATTTCAAAGTGATGTCAAACCAACAGGTAAAAGGGTACTATAGTTACTATTGCTATGGATACAGTACTCATCTTTGATATATAGAAACCTCCGTGCCAAAAATATGGTAAATAGGACTTCAATATGAATATAGTATTGTTGATCATCAAGTTTAGCCTGTGATATCCAAGACTGTTTAGCAAAGAACAACTACCAAGAGTCAAAGTGTCAAGACTTGATAGATAAACTTGACAAATGCTGTCAAGATCTCATTAACAATGGAGGCAAAAGTGCTTGCTGTCCAGAAAAGAAATACAAAAATAACCCGAGGACAAAATAAAAAGACAGTTCAAACTACAAGATATTATTTTCCTGTTTTTTTTTTTTTTTTTCTTATCTTTCTTCCTTACAATTTAACACAATGAGCATCACACATCATTCAAACGGCCGTTTCCCAACGGAACTTTTATTATCTATATTTATTCACTTGGACGGCCCAACTTTAGCTTCCTGTAGTAGAGTGTGCCGACAATGGCACAACGCCATTACTCACTTTGACGAACTGATCTGGTCAAGAGCCTGTCGCCGTGATTTCCTAAAGACAAGGCGTTTCTGGTCACTTCAATTTCCCGAACTAACACAAACAAACAGCTTACTCGGAAAGCAAAAGAGAACATGGCAGGATATGTATAGAATAACCAAAAACTGGTATACCGGTCACTGTACGGGATATTATCCTGAAGTAGACCAAGATAGATCAACAGACACACTCATCCCCTGCGCCGTTATTGGTGATCCTCAAGAACATGGTATGTTTACCACGCTCACTCTTGCTTACAATGGATCCATCATTCGATCAAATCCAAACTATCAAACGGCATCTGAACAGAGTTTGATGATTCAATCACCACAGACACATGAAAAACAGTATATACAATGGTCAAATCTTGAATTGCCCGGTTGGCCAGAAGCTGCAGCATCACACACCATTGTTTGTCACCATACACTTCCATCCACACCTTGGTTGGTTACAGGTGGTTTGAACGGTACTGTTGCCATATGGGATCTAGAGAAAAGGTCCTTGGTGAGGATGTGGCACGGACACCGTGGAAGGGTATTATGCATTAGCATGAATGACGAAGGTTAGTCATGATTAACAGGAAAGAACGCTGGCTTTATAAAAACAAACCCCTCTATAGCTGTTTTAAGCGGCGGCGCGGATAGTATGATCCAAGTGTGGGATCTCAATATGACTGACAAGACAAAAAATCTTCAAAGGCCTACTCAACGTGGCATGATCGATATTTCCCGCTACTTGTCTGAACGAAATGATTGGTATCAAGGTGTAGGTGAAATTGCTGCAAATCATAATTTAGTCGCTTGTGCCCCGGATGCTTCCGGCCCCATCTTGATCTTTTCCCTTTTGACAGGATCTCTTGTATATGAATTGAAAATACCACAAGCTTCACCAAGGATGGAGTGGGCGACTGAGGATATCACTGCCTTCACTCGGCTTCGACTGACCCCGTACTTTTTACTCACAAAGGGAAAAATATCCAACAAGAGCCAGCATTTGAAGATTGTACCTTCTACTCAAAATGTGATCCTTCAGCGTAACAAGCTCTCCCAGTCTAAACAAGTAGGTTATATGTCACCATTGAAAGATCATAACCCTTCTCCTCATGTTGCCCAAATGACTCCCTATCAGCTTTATCTTTACTACCAATCAATGAATAGTGGTAATGAAAGAAGTGACAGTGAAGAAGAGCAATTGCCTACTCCAGACACGAATGATTGTATTCATGTCTGGGACCTCCAAACAGCAAAGATCGTCTACAGGCTACTTCCTGTTTTACCAAAACCAAACCAATACTACACTATTACAGATATACAGTTATCTCCAGATTACTCCAAGGTATTTGCTATTATCCAAATTCGTGGTAAAAAGCAGTATGAGGAACATCTTTTCTGCTGGGACTTTTCGATAAAGAATATAGATGATCCGATAGATCAATGTTTTAAAGTTTTAGAATTAGATACTAAAGACTCTTCTCAACAAAAAATTGGAACTTCTTGGGTTTGTTTTATGTAGCTTTGTTTTTAGTATTCTCCCATTTGTAAATACGTCATTTGTATACACTTTTCCATCTTATAAAACCAGTTTACGTTTTTATATTGCTTCAATATTCGTTTTATTTTGACTCAATATGTGTTATTATGTAATTCAATTTTCGCTTCTGCCATGTTCAAATGCCACAGTTGACGAAAGGAAGACAGAGGGTGTGATATGATTTTCAGAACAAAAATAATATATAATATTCTTGCTGCCAGTGTGCTTTGTAGTAGAACCGTTCAAATTTGTTGCCATATAGGCCCCAGTTAACATGCTTTTTTATCTTATCTATCTTGTTGCCTACTCCGGCGGATCTTCGTGCTGCTTGCTGAACGTATTGAATGTGGGCCATATACTTTTGTATCTATCTCTGCTGTTTTCATGTGTTTCTTGACGATGTTCGCTACTGAAATTGGGTTGAATGGTCGAAGTTTACTGGGTTCCATCAAGTATGCCAGGAATAGTGAATGGTTCTCGGGGAGCTCATGACGAAGGTGTTCGGTCTTGGTTATAAAAAGCCACGTCGTTCTTGCCGGGCACATAGATTCAAGTTCTAACTGCCCGAGCCTTGTTTTCTTGGTTTGAGCTTCCTTTGATTGTCTAATGTACAGTATCATCCGGAGCATGGCTAGATTTCTGGAGTTACTGTTATTTCTAAAAGTAAATTTTACGTTTCTACATTGTAAAGCACCCATATCAGAACGCGCACGAAACATTGCTGCAATACAAAATAGCAGGATCGTCTTGTCATGTAGTTGAACGAGAGACAGTGAACCAACACTACATGCACCAGAAAATAAGCTAATGCTACGGGCGCTTCCTTGGGGCACTGCCTATGTTGTCACTATATAAATTCACACTACCAAAGTCTCTACATAGTCTAAGGCTGCCCAGTTCACTGATGTGAAATACGGATATATCCTAATTGCACGTGATTGATTTTTGTTCTTTGATCAAACTAACAGCATAAAAAATAGGATAAATAAAAAAGATCATTGTTAACTTCTTTTCATATACAAACGAAATGACTGTGTATGATTGTAACCATCTATTGGAAGATCCTAGGCGTCTACAAGTTTTCAATTCCAAAGAAGTCTTCTATCAAAGATCGAGGTAATTTGTATGCAGTTGGATACTATAGAAGAAATAAAAAAGAAGTGCTGTCACTGCTTTATTCTAATTTTTTGTTGTCAGTTCTATCAACAAAGAACTAGGATCAATAACGTGTATTTTACATTAATATATATTCCATTGGGAGGCGTTAGATTAGTTAGTTTCCCGAGGCAGCGCCCGTAACATTAGCCACTTTGTCATGAATTTTTTCGTGCATGTAGTATTTCCTATCCATATATATATCCTTTTGGTAGACAATATCCTTTTCCTATTGGTGTAAATGCACACTAACAAATTTAGGAATAGATTTACCCTTTCTCCCTTTTCTGTGGGCTAAATTTCGTGGTAGATCGTTCATCAGTTGTACTGAAATAGTTGATTAAACCAGATATTTCTTTAATGTTATTTATCCCCAGGAGTAATATGCATCATCGACTCTATAGAACGTTGATGTCAATATTTTATGATGGGTTTCACTTTATTATAAGTTGTTAATAAAGAAAAAAAAAAGAGGGTGATCAGAGCTTCTTTATTTGTGCATTTGAACATCTTATTTACAGATATTATGCAATCGGAGGCAAACGTTATTTATTATTATATGATTATGATTATTATGATTATTATTATTCGATTGTCCACATATCGTTTTTATTATCGGTATTGTTGTGGTTCGCATTGGAAAGTAAATTGGCGTTTTCTTTTCTTCCTTCTTGCAGCTCAAGATCATCTATGCTGTCATGATCAATCGTTTGTGGCTGTTGTTCTTGTTTTTTGTTATTCTTTCTTAGTTCGGGGTTTTTAAATACAAACACTCCTCGATGAAGATTAAACAGGGCCTTGACAGCAACAGCAATGGTGAGCAGTAAGAGTACCATGGCGATAACTGTAGTAAATATTAAGAATTGCCTTGTATGCAAGTATGGATCATATTCATTGACTCTTGGCATTGCAATGAGGTAAAGTCTGTAAATGAAATAACCAACGGATCCGATACCAGAGAGAATTGACAAGAGCATGGCATACTTATTTTCTTGATAGACAGCTGCTATGGCAAGTGACAGTAGCGCAGCTCCCAGCACAAAGACCACGACAGTTTCAGTAATAGTTTCTGAGTATCCTAGTCTGACAGAAGGTATCAACTGTGCAGCAAATGAAAAAATAAAAAAGAAGTCCAATTTAAGCAAGGTCAATAGGATGCTGATAGTGATTAACGCATTACGTATTCTATCATCACGTTAGAATGTTAGTCATCTATTCTATATGCTAGTATATATAGAAGAAGAGTACCTCATATCTGCAGAAAAGTTCCTATAATTATCCCAAGCGAATTGTTTACGAAGTCTCCAGCCAAAGAACACCAGGACGATAAAGAAGGCGGGAATAAGAGCAATGATGGTATATTCGATAGGTCTCATTATGCTTTCGTAATGATCTTTGGCTATTTCCATTCCTTGAAGAGTACTGCTCCACCTTGATTCAACTGGTTTCCAATATTTCTCATCTCCACTAATGGAAGCGTGTCAAAGAGCTTTTTTTTTTATGTTGTTTACCAGACTGCGTTTTCCAATATAACATGTTGTCTTAACTGAATGCCTGCATATCTTTAAAAGGGATATCAATAACTGAAGGGTGAATATATCAGCTTGTTCTACTTACGCTATTATTCATTATGTTAATAAGCAATGTTGAATATACATATATACATATCATTTTAACTTACCAACAACAAGTAATCCAAAAAGAATCAGCGCACACAGTTGAGCTGCAAAAAGAATAAGTAATACAGAATAGAAAGCCCATTTGGACAGTACCTGTATTTCTTTGATATAAAGCATCTACACATAGTACCACTTGGAACACTTGAGAGATGATAAACAAGGCATGGTATATTAAGTCGGATTCACTAACGCCTTAAAAGAATGGGATTAATGCATATTCAATCTCTCTCTTCCCTTCCTTCTTATGTACCTTCTTCAACGATTGTTGCAGAACAATTCTGAACAAGCCCGAGATGGTTCATGATGACCATGCCTTCCAATATGGAAATAACGATAGCCTCAAATGTAACTAAGCCAAGTGTCATGACTGACTCCTTTGATTTAAGGACTCCGTTCTCTTTAAGCTTGCCCATCCTGTTTTTCGTAAAATAAAATAAAAAAGAAAGAGAGAAAGAGATAAAACGGAGAGTGAGGAAATAAATCCACAAGGCAAAACTCGATCTTGTTTGTTGTACTGGATTCAATCAGCCACTTTTTGCTTAATTTTGAACCTTCCTCTTTTTCTTTCCTTTCCCTTTACAAATGAGGCTCGGTCACTTTCTCATTTATAAAATCTATTTTTATTTGTTTACATGAATTCACCATTCCTTTTTTTTCATAATAAAGAATAATGTGGGGGGAAACGGTGATATAACGACTGACTGCGCTTTGCTTTTAAATGTAACCTAGATCAAATGTGTAACAGTCCGTTTATTCGTTTGTCTACTTGGGGTAATCACGCATACAGTACTTTGAAAAGAACATGTCACAGCCAATGAAAATCAATGTCCGCTTATGACTACAGACCGAACAGATTAGCCCTCTGTTCTACAAAAAGCCTTGGATATATTGAACCATCCCTGCAAGAAATGGTATCACCTTTTGGTATCGTTCAAAAGGATTTCAGAAAACCATATTGAACCCTAAGTCAAGTCATTTGCCAGTTCGAAATTTGCCATTCGCTGCGAGTGGATCATCATAACGACCCAGTGCTGGGATTTCTTGATATTGGATCAGTGTATGATGCCCTCATATGCACAACTTACAACCATGCCTCATTTTATCTCTTCTGGGGCCCCTGTACAACCTATTCTAAACTACGTTTATTGCAGTGTTTCTATCCATTGCTTCTTTACGTCGCTTCTACCCACAAATGGAGGTCCTTCGGAGTCTATTCCCTCTGTATATCTATATTCAGTTTGTATTAATCAGCCTCTAATGCTTTCACAATCCCAAGTACTGTTGTTGAACATGTCCCTTGTATATACTATGATTCTAATTAATTACCTTTTATAAACAAGCAGCATCGTGTTCATTACCAACCAATGCAACACGACCCACGAACCCAAGGTATGTGTACAACATAGCCTAGATCTAGATTACAGATGAAACTCTCCGAGGTGTGTCACATTAGAAAAGTAGTTCAGTATCTTTACAATCAAAGCTCTTTTGGTTATTTGTAGCTTCCATCTAAAGCTGGCGGATTTTTTTCATCCCGAATTCTCGGTAAACTGTAACTGAACTAAGGTGCTCTCCCACTATGAATACCACCAATTGGAGTCAATCTTACTGACTTGTTCAAACTGTTGCCGTTATCGATTTTATCTTCCAAATTGTTCATTCACGAATAGACTTTGGGCTAACCATTATTGTATCAATGGACTGTTTATTCTAATGTACAGCCATTTTATTTTGCAATACAAACATCCACCTGCTCTTCGTTGGTAGTGACGTGACACGAGTGAGTTAGCCGTCGATCACAAGTGTATAAACAAAGAACTGTGTATAGAAACTTCCTTGTCATTAAGCCTCTCTGGATTGTGCATTGACACAATATATCCTTATCAGGAGCATTCCACCTCATAAACAAATATATAAGCCATTAGCAGCCCAGAGTGGCGGATTGGAAAAAATAAAGATGCATCTTGTGGGAGTTGAATAGAGCTATCAGAACCTGATCCTTGGATTAGTTGAAAGCTCTTGACAATAATGAGCTGAAAGCTATAATACTGTTATAGGATGTGTCTATCTCTCCATATTCACGTTTTCTTCATCCAATCAAGGGGAAGTTTTGGTCAAAGGTTAAACATGGTATCAAAAGATGACATTTAATGTCAGCGATACTTTAACTCCCCCTTCGAATTTTAGAAACTTGCATCCAAGTTATTCTGCAAGGTTGTGAAGGATAAGCAAGTTTAAGAAATGAAATTGCGTGTCTTGCCTTTATGTCGCGCTGTTTCCTGTAGTAAAGGGATTGACACTTTATATTCATTTACTCATAGACTTACTCTTTAATAAATCACATCCTAAGATAAGGAAAACTGTGGCTGATCTCCTTCCTACAAGAACGTTTAGAAGAGAGGATATCCTTGACAATGATTCGATGAAAAGATCAGTTTAAAACAATTTTTACTATCGAGTGCTATCAACTAAAAAATACTAAAATTGACGACAAAGATCACTGAAATTTGTGAAGCTGTCCCCTTGGAACATCTTTAGATCTTTATTCGTCATTCCGTAAAGATATTTGAAGACTGAAAAAATAAACAGCCAATCGAATAAAAGCAACTATAAAGAAGTAATAAAGAAGTTTTGATCCAAACCAACTTAATTTCGAGAGAGTGGCCAAACTGGATACAGTTTTTTAAGCTAAAATGAGACGATTCAAAAAATAAGTTAGACACTTTATAAAATAAATATAAAATAAATGAGACGCCTGCTAAAAAAATTTGAGACAAGTGAATGAAAAAATAGACAGCCCTATTTTTTGTAGCCGAAACGAATTATTGTTCAAAGACTTACCTGTATCATGGATTAATGTAGCGGTAACTTCAAAGGGTTGGTTATTTTCTTGGTTGGTCTACTACTAGCTGATGAGGTCGCCTTTCTTTTGAAGCCAGTAGAAGGAGGTGCGTTGAGTCTGCAAAAGCGCTCTGGTCTTTTTCCGTTTTCACGCAGCCCAAAAAGGATGTGCCTGAAATTTAAAGTGGCCACCATATCACGGTTCCAAAGA